CAAGAAGGCGGAACAAGAAGGCGGAACAAGAAGGCGGAACAAGAAGGCGGAACAAGAAGGCGGAACAAGAAGGCGGAACAAGAAGGCGGAACAAGAAGGCGGAACAAGAAGGCGGAACAAGAAGGCGGAACAAGAAGGCGGAACAAGAAGGCGGAACAAGAAGGCGGAACAAGAAGGCGGAACAAGAAGGCGGAACAAGAAGGCGGAACAAGAAGGCGGAACAAGAAGGCGGAACAAGAAGGCGGAACAAGAAGGCGGAACAAGAAGGCGGAACAAGAAGGCGGAACAAGAAGGCGGAACAAGAAGGCGGAACAAGAAGGCGGAACAAGAAGGCGGAACAAGAAGGCGGAACAAGAAGGCGGAACAAGAAGGCGGAACAAGAAGGCGGAACAAGAAGGCGGAACAAGAAGGCGGAACAAGAAGGCGGAACAAGAAGGCGGAACAAGAAGGCGGAACAAGAAGGCGGAACAAGAAGGCGGAACAAGAAGGCGGAACAAGAAGGCGGAACAAGAAGGCGGAACAAGAAGGCGGAACAAGAAGGCGGAACAAGAAGGCGGAACAAGAAGGCGGAACAAGAAGGCGGAACAAGAAGGCGGAACAAGAAGGCGGAACAAGAAGGCGGAACAAGAAGGCGGAACAAGAAGGCGGAACAAGAAGGCGGAACAAGAAGGCGGAACAAGAAGGCGGAACAAGAAGGCGGAACAAGAAGGCGGAACAAGAAGGCGGAACAAGAAGGCGGAACAAGAAGGCGGAACAAGAAGGCGGAACAAGAAGGCGGAACAAGAAGGCGGAACAAGAAGGCGGAACAAGAAGGCGGAACAAGAAGGCGGAACAAGAAGGCGGAACAAGAAGGCGGAACAAGAAGGCGGAACAAGAAGGCGGAACAAGAAGGCGGAACAAGAAGGCGGAACAAGAAGGCGGAACAAGAAGGCGGAACAAGAAGGCGGAACAAGAAGGCGGAACAAGAAGGCGGAACAAGAAGGCGGAACAAGAAGGCGGAACAAGAAGGCGGAACAAGAAGGCGGAACAAGAAGGCGGAACAAGAAGGCGGAACAAGAAGGCGGAACAAGAAGGCGGAACAAGAAGGCGGAACAAGAAGGCGGAACAAGAAGGCGGAACAAGAAGGCGGAACAAGAAGGCGGAACAAGAAGGCGGAACAAGAAGGCGGAACAAGAAGGCGGAACAAGAAGGCGGAACAAGAAGGCGGAACAAGAAGGCGGAACAAGAAGGCGGAACAAGAAGGCGGAACAAGAAGGCGGAACAAGAAGGCGGAACAAGAAGGCGGAACAAGAAGGCGGAACAAGAAGGCGGAACAAGAAGGCGGAACAAGAAGGCGGAACAAGAAGGCGGAACAAGAAGGCGGAACAAGAAGGCGGAACAAGAAGGCGGAACAAGAAGGCGGAACAAGAAGGCGGAACAAGAAGGCGGAACAAGAAGGCGGAACAAGAAGGCGGAACAAGAAGGCGGAACAAGAAGGCGGAACAAGAAGGCGGAACAAGAAGGCGGAACAAGAAGGCGGAACAAGAAGGCGGAACAAGAAGGCGGAACAAGAAGGCGGAACAAGAAGGCGGAACAAGAAGGCGGAACAAGAAGGCGGAACAAGAAGGCGGAACAAGAAGGCGGAACAAGAAGGCGGAACAAGAAGGCGGAACAAGAAGGCGGAACAAGAAGGCGGAACAAGAAGGCGGAACAAGAAGGCGGAACAAGAAGGCGGAACAAGAAGGCGGAACAAGAAGGCGGAACAAGAAGGCGGAACAAGAAGGCGGAACAAGAAGGCGGAACAAGAAGGCGGAACAAGAAGGCGGAACAAGAAGGCGGAACAAGAAGGCGGAACAAGAAGGCGGAACAAGAAGGCGGAACAAGAAGGCGGAACAAGAAGGCGGAACAAGAAGGCGGAACAAGAAGGCGGAACAAGAAGGCGGAACAAGAAGGCGGAACAAGAAGGCGGAACAAGAAGGCGGAACAAGAAGGCGGAACAAGAAGGCGGAACAAGAAGGCGGAACAAGAAGGCGGAACAAGAAGGCGGAACAAGAAGGCGGAACAAGAAGGCGGAACAAGAAGGCGGAACAAGAAGGCGGAACAAGAAGGCGGAACAAGAAGGCGGAACAAGAAGGCGGAACAAGAAGGCGGAACAAGAAGGCGGAACAAGAAGGCGGAACAAGAAGGCGGAACAAGAAGGCGGAACAAGAAGGCGGAACAAGAAGGCGGAACAAGAAGGCGGAACAAGAAGGCGGAACAAGAAGGCGGAACAAGAAGGCGGAACAAGAAGGCGGAACAAGAAGGCGGAACAAGAAGGCGGAACAAGAAGGCGGAACAAGAAGGCGGAACAAGAAGGCGGAACAAGAAGGCGGAACAAGAAGGCGGAACAAGAAGGCGGAACAAGAAGGCGGAACAAGAAGGCGGAACAAGAAGGCGGAGCAAGGAAGGCGGAGCAAGGAAGGCGGAGCAAGGAAGGCGGAGCAAGGAAGGCGGAGCAAGGAAGGCGGAGCAAGGAAGGCGGAGCAAGGAAGGCGGAGCAAGGAAGGCGGAGCAAGGAAGGCGGAGCAAGGAAGGCGGAGCAAGGAAGGCGGAGCAAGGAAGGCGGAGCAAGGAAGGCGGAGCAAGGAAGGCGGAGCAAGGAAGGCGGAGCAAGGAAGGCGGAGCAAGGAAGGCGGAGCAAGGAAGGCGGAGCAAGGAAGGCGGAGCAAGGAAGGCGGAGCAAGGAAGGCGGAGCAAGGAAGGCGGAGCAAGGAAGGCGGAGCAAGGAAGGCGGAGCAAGGAAGGCGGAGCAAGGAAGGCGGAGCAAGGAAGGCGGAGCAAGGAAGGCGGAGCAAGGAAGGCGGAGCAAGGAAGGCGGAGCAAGGAAGGCGGAGCAAGGAAGGCGGAGCAAGGAAGGCGGAGCAAGGAAGGCGGAGCAAGGAAGGCGGAGCAAGGAAGGCGGAGCAAGGAAGGCGGAGCAAGGAAGGCGGAGCAAGGAAGGCGGAGCAAGGAAGGCGGAGCAAGGAAGGCGGAGCAAGGAAGGCGGAGCAAGGAAGGCGGAGCAAGGAAGGCGGAGCAAGGAAGGCGGAGCAAGGAAGGCGGAGCAAGGAAGGCGGAGCAAGGAAGGCGGAGCAAGGAAGGCGGAGCAAGGAAGGCGGAGCAAGGAAGGCGGAGCAAGGAAGGCGGAGCAAGGAAGGCGGAGCAAGGAAGGCGGAGCAAGGAAGGCGGAGCAAGGAAGGCGGAGCAAGGAAGGCGGAGCAAGGAAGGCGGAGCAAGGAAGGCGGAGCAAGGAAGGCGGAGCAAGGAAGGCGGAGCAAGGAAGGCGGAGCAAGGAAGGCGGAGCAAGGAAGGCGGAGCAAGGAAGGCGGAGCAAGGAAGGCGGAGCAAGGAAGGCGGAGCAAGGAAGGCGGAGCAAGGAAGGCGGAGCAAGGAAGGCGGAGCAAGGAAGGCGGAGCAAGGAAGGCGGAGCAAGGAAGGCGGAGCAAGGAAGGCGGAGCAAGGAAGGCGGAGCAAGGAAGGCGGAGCAAGGAAGGCGGAGCAAGGAAGGCGGAGCAAGGAAGGCGGAGCAAGGAAGGCGGAGCAAGGAAGGCGGAGCAAGGAAGGCGGAGCAAGGAAGGCGGAGCAAGGAAGGCGGAGCAAGGAAGGCGGAGCAAGGAAGGCGGAGCAAGGAAGGCGGAGCAAGGAAGGCGGAGCAAGGAAGGCGGAGCAAGGAAGGCGGAGCAAGGAAGGCGGAGCAAGGAAGGCGGAGCAAGGAAGGCGGAGCAAGGAAGGCGGAGCAAGGAAGGCGGAGCAAGGAAGGCGGAGCAAGGAAGGCGGAGCAAGGAAGGCGGAGCAAGGAAGGCGGAGCAAGGAAGGCGGAGCAAGGAAGGCGGAGCAAGGAAGGCGGAGCAAGGAAGGCGGAGCAAGGAAGGCGGAGCAAGGAAGGCGGAGCAAGGAAGGCGGAGCAAGGAAGGCGGAGCAAGGAAGGCGGAGCAAGGAAGGCGGAGCAAGGAAGGCGGAGCAAGGAAGGCGGAGCAAGGAAGGCGGAGCAAGGAAGGCGGAGCAAGGAAGGCGGAGCAAGGAAGGCGGAGCAAGGAAGGCGGAGCAAGGAAGGCGGAGCAAGGAAGGCGGAGCAAGGAAGGCGGAGCAAGGAAGGCGGAGCAAGGAAGGCGGAGCAAGGAAGGCGGAGCAAGGAAGGCGGAGCAAGGAAGGCGGAGCAAGGAAGGCGGAGCAAGGAAGGCGGAGCAAGGAAGGCGGAGCAAGGAAGGCGGAGCAAGGAAGGCGGAGCAAGGAAGGCGGAGCAAGGAAGGCGGAGCAAGGAAGGCGGAGCAAGGAAGGCGGAGCAAGGAAGGCGGAGCAAGGAAGGCGGAGCAAGGAAGGCGGAGCAAGGAAGGCGGAGCAAGGAAGGCGGAGCAAGGAAGGCGGAGCAAGGAAGGCGGAGCAAGGAAGGCGGAGCAAGGAAGGCGGAGCAAGGAAGGCGGAGCAAGGAAGGCGGAGCAAGGAAGGCGGAGCAAGGAAGGCGGAGCAAGGAAGGCGGAGCAAGGAAGGCGGAGCAAGGAAGGCGGAGCAAGGAAGGCGGAGCAAGGAAGGCGGAGCAAGGAAGGCGGAGCAAGGAAGGCGGAGCAAGGAAGGCGGAGCAAGGAAGGCGGAGCAAGGAAGGCGGAGCAAGGAAGGCGGAGCAAGGAAGGCGGAGCAAGGAAGGCGGAGCAAGGAAGGCGGAGCAAGGAAGGCGGAGCAAGGAAGGCGGAGCAAGGAAGGCGGAGCAAGGAAGGCGGAGCAAGGAAGGCGGAGCAAGGAAGGCGGAGCAAGGAAGGCGGAGCAAGGAAGGCGGAGCAAGGAAGGCGGAGCAAGGAAGGCGGAGCAAGGAAGGCGGAGCAAGGAAGGCGGAGCAAGGAAGGCGGAGCAAGGAAGGCGGAGCAAGGAAGGCGGAACAAGAAGGCGGAACAAGAAGTACCAAGGACTGAGGCGTCAAAGAGCATCGGAGCAGGAGATGTCCCAAGCAACCTCCCTAACCTCTACTAACCCACCCAGCATTCATCTCAACTCTTCGCATTTATACCCACCACATCCCATGCGTATGCACACCCGTTGCCTGCCGCACTGTAAACTGTGTTTCTCTGCAGTGGCGTTGCAGGTATTGGAAAGAATAGGTGGGTGGACGGATGGGAGCAGAGGGATACAAGTGGTGTGTGAGATGCAGAGACGGGAGAGAAGCCGGGAAAAGAAAGTCTTTAATTAGTGGAAAGTCAATGTATCATGCACTTTTCAGGAACCATGCATCACATGCCCCTCATCATGTGCACCATATGCCATGCACAGCACACCATGCGCGTGCACCATGCTTCACCCATTCACACTATGCACCATGCTTCACCCATTCACACTATGCACCATGCTTCACCCATTCACACTATGCACAATCCGTCACACATTCACCTGCTTGTCAACATCAATGGCATTGGTCTTTGGCACCACTGCCACACCCCTTGCATACATGCAGCACACTTCATGCACCACATGCCATGCACCAATCCTCATGCACACACACTATGCACCATGCACCTATGCACCATGCACCTATGCACCATGCACCTATGCACATGCACACAAACCCACACACTCCCACACCTGCTCGTCAACATCAATGGCGTTCGTCTCTGGCACCACTGCCACGCCCCTTGCAGCACACTTGATGCACCACATGCCATGCGCCATTTATCATGCACACACACTATGCACCGTGCACCATGCACCTATGAACATGCATGCTCACACCTGCTCGTCAACATCAATAGCGTTCGTCTCTGGCACCACTGCCACGCCCCTTGCAGCAGCCCACGTGGTGGGGGGGTTGACCAGGTCAACGCACGGGGCCACCTGAGGGGCTGGGAGTTGGAGTGGACGGCTAGGGTTTGCCCTGGTTACCGCAGGGGTAGACCTTTTTCCACAACACAATTGAGTAGGGGAGCGCTATAAAAAACATTCACATGACGGCCTGATTAAAAGAACATGGTTTATGGCCATATGAAGAGAATGGGATACAGTATAGCATGATATAAAATTCATAACCAGCCAGGAAACCCTATTCATAAAATTCATAAAAATTCATAGCTGAGTGAGTGGCAGACTCACCTTGAGCAGGAGTGGACGCGAGAAGGTCGCGCCACCGCCACCCTGCAACGCGACCATCGTCCCCACAACTGCCACGTCAGAATGAACAAGCCAAACCATCAGCACGGAGAAGCGTTCAGCGGCAAGATTAGCACTCGCCACACCACGTGATCTGTTGCTCCCCTAGAGAATAACGAATGAACCAAGGCTGGGAAGAAAGAATAATAATAAACTCCATCTAATCTGCTGCAGCCATAGACATGAGGGTCTAAATCCAACGCGCACCTGAACAGCAGCGGGTGCCCCCCCATGGCGCACGTCTTCAGCCCAAACGCCGCCCCCTTGTGCGCCTGTACCGCAGCTGCGGGCTGCGCCTCCCCCAACCGCCGTGCCCCCTCCCCCGCTTCCCCCCAAGGCCCGCCGCCGCCCTCTCCTGGAGCACGCGCGCGCTGGCCATGCGCGAGGAAAGGGGAGGAGGGAAGAGGGGAGGAGGAAGAGTTGGGGATGAATAAATGAAGAGGGGAAGGTGGAGGGGAAGGATTGGGGGCAGGGGGAGGGGGGGGTTGGGACACACGTGAAAGGCGCGGAGGAAAGGGTTGAGGGCAGAAGGAAATTGAGAAAGAAAAGGACGCGGAGAGAAGGAATTCCTCCAACTTCCTTCTCTCCACACGGCTTCTCCCTCCAACTTCCTTCTCTCCACACGGCTTCTCCCTCCAACTTCCTTCTCTCCACACGGCTTCTCCCTCCAACTTCCTTCTCTCCACACGGCTTCTCCCTCCAACTTTTGAAAAGGACGCGGTCTCCCTCTGCCAATCCCGAAGATGAAGTACCAGCGAGGCGACTAACGAAGCCAGGGAGTGAACCGATACGCCACCGCTGCTCGACGCGCAAGCGACGAGCCGCGGCGCTGCTGACGTGGACGGCCACGTTTCGTTCCCCAGCTCTCCAGCCGGCATGCTAACGTGCTCGCCCGGAACGAGCAGGGCAGCGTAGATCACGCTCCCGGCTAGCTTCCGCTCGCGCAAAACGCGCTCGGCGTAAGTTGAGGCGTCATAGTTGCGACAATCCATGGCGGACGGAGGAGCAGCAAGTGCGGTTCGCTGATTCGACGTAGCCGTTGGCTCATCGCCATGGACACCAAGCGGCGAATGCGGAACCCGTGCTTCTGCATCGTCTGCGGACCATGCAATCCGGTCCTTAAGTACGTCTTCATCTCGCCAGTCCTCTCCGTAGTCCACGGCGTCCAGATCCATGGTCCCTCGGGTGCCTCGTTGGTCTCGTGAGTTGCGGTAAGTGCTGAAGAATTTTTTGGAATTTTTTGGAATTTTTTGTTGGTCAATGTTTCGTACCCGCGTGGCCTAATGGATAAGGCATCTGACTTCTAATCAGAGGATTGTGGGTTCGAGTCCCATCGTGGGTGCCTGTTTTGTTGCTGACACGTGGTGCCACAGATATTTGTGGAGCACAACTGTTTCTAATCGCGACATATGTAGGTAAACTATAATTTCCACGCATTCTTCTACCTGTGGGTGTGCATCACCATATGTTCCTAACAAAATTGATCTCATTGTCCAGCAATTCTCACAAGAACCCCAGGCATGTTGCATTTCGGTACAAAAATCCCAAGTATTCAGTATGTTCTTAAGCCCTGGCTTAAGGGCATGTAACGAATACTTCACACAAAACACTCCTTTCCCTACTATAGTCTCTTGCTCTAGCTAAACTAACTCATGTGAAGATGGTAACCACGTCACGGCGGTAACCACGGACCATAAGCAAGCGCGGGATGTTGTTGACAAGCAGGTCCATGTACTCCATGTAGCAATAAGGGGGGTGGTTCTGGGGGGGCGGCGGCAGACTGACAAGGACCACAGCAGCCATACGCGAGTACCGCAGTATAATGGAGTTGAGCTTGATTGTGGTGTAGAGAAACTTATTCACCTTGCTCTCATCCAGGAGAGAGTTGTGTGTCTCAGCCTCAGGGTCCTCGCTCATTCTCTTGGCAATGTTGCGCCGGGCCTGGTGATGGTGTGGTGTGGACGATGGGGTATGCAGGGATGGGATGGGATGGACAGCATGGGATGAAGGGATGTGAGAGAGAGAGGAAACTGGGGCCTGTGTTGCACTGTGCCAGCACCATCATTTCACAGTCACTGCAAAACCATGCATCACTCATCTCCAGGACTGTGAATGCACTGGCGAGGGGCACCACTGCACCCCCACACACCTCAATAGTGCTAGCGTGGCCTGCCATGTGCGTGTGGCCATTCTCATGGCCAAACCTGCACCACTCACCCGAGTGAATGCTTCCATGGCGCCTTGCCGGGCGAGCTCAGCTGCAGCGCCCTCAGAATCTGACACCATGTCCTCCCACACCTTTCAGGTGAGGGGCATTACTGCACCACTCACCCTCTCAGGTGCCTGCAAGGCTCACTGCAAGGCTCACTGCAACCACTCTCCTGGGAGAACTCTGCACGGCACACTCCTCCCACTCACCCGAGTGAAGGCCTCCATGGCGCCTTGCCGGGCGAGCTCTGCCTCAGCGCCCTCAGCATCGGACACCACGTCCTCCCAGGCCTTCATGGTGACGACGATGACGTCTGCCTGCATGCGCAGGTCGTACAGGAACTTGCTCACGTCCAGCTTCAGGTTCTCCGCTCCCGTGTCCTCCTCTGCAATGCAGAACACCTGAGCACATGCAGTGGTAGGGGGAGCAAAATAGTAAGTTGCAGAGGCACAAGCAGGCACATGAGTACGTAATTCCACCTGCTCGCGTCCAGCTTCAGGTTCTCCGCTCCCGTGTTCTCCTCTGCAATGCAGAACACCTGCAGGCGCGCAGAGGAGTGCAGAATAGTGCAGGGGGGTGCAGGGGAGTGCAGGGGAGTGCAGAGGAGTGCAGGGGGTCGAAGCAGCATGACTCCTCTATCCTTCCATCCCTCCTATACTCAGTACACACGTCATGAGTGCCGCATTGCTTCTGGCACTCCCTCATGTGAGTCAACTGACCAGTCACTTGAAAACAGGTATTTCTGCACGAGGCACTCACCTGGATTTTGCAGTTTTCAAAACTCTCTTTCGCCCGCAGCAGCTGGGAGAGCAGCAGCATGATGCCTCCATCCCTCACGATCCAGTAGAGGTCGATGGTGCCGTACTGTTTCTGATACTCGCCCGGCCACTCGTCCAGCCCCTTCACAATCACACACGCCTTGTTCGCCGTGTTGCAGTCGTTGATGATGTTCACAAACGTGCCGGGGATGTCCCTGTGGGCGGCAGAGGGGGTGGGGGAGTGAAACTGGGGGTGTGAAGCAAAGCAGCAAAGTGAAATGTCTTAAATATAAGGTGAATCTGATCGCAAGTAATAGAGTTATGTGGTGACTTATGATAAACCAACTCAAGGGTCACCAATACAATGGCCTCACCTCTGGATGTCCTCACGCCAGATCTCAGGGTAACGCATGCACACAATGTTGGGCTTGAGGTTGGCCAGTCCCATGGTTTGCACAGCAATGCGGAAGCCCTCGTTGAGCGAGTCAGCCACGATGGCCTCTGCCACTCCCTCGCAGCGCTTGTAGTCAATGTAGCTCAGCAGCAGGTGGCTCGCTGACCTTGCATCCTCCGCCCGGTCCCTGGGAGAAGGCAAGCGGGGCGAGTTGGCACGTTCGTGGGGTTGAAAAGCACAAGGGAGTGGAGTGAGAGAAGGAGAGAGGGAGCAAGGGAGTGGGGAAGTGAGGCGATGCGGAAGCCCTCGTTGAGCGAGTCAGCCACGATGGCCTCTGCCAATCCCTCACAGCGCTTGTAGTCGATGTAGCTCAGCAGCAGGTGGCTTGCTGACCGTGTGTCTTCTGCCCAGTCTCTGGATGGGGGCACGACGGGTGAGTAGGCCAGAATTTAGGGTTAAAAAGGACAAGGGAGTGGGGAGGGAGTGAGGAGGTGAGGTGGCATGTAACCCCTCGTTGAGCGAGCCAGCCACGATGGCCTCTGCCACTCCCTCGCAGCGCTTGTAGTCGGTGTAGCTCAGCAGCAGGTGGCTCGCTGACCTTGCATCCTCTGCCCGATCCCTGGATAGGGAAAAGAGGGGAGAGGGGTGGGGTGCAGGGAAGTGACGAAGTGATGGAAGCAGGGAGATTGTGGGAGAGTGAACGATAGGGAGTGAGAAAGTCGATTTTTGAGTCGACTCAAAAATCGACTAGCAGGGAGATTGTGGGAGAGTGAACGATAGGGAGTGAGAAAGTGAGACATTGTAAGAGTTGAGGTGAGGGGAATGAGTACATTGAAGGGCAAGGAAGAATGACGAACCACAGTGTGGGAGTAGCACCTGGGTCTGCTCAGAAGACCATCTTTAACAAAGATGGTCGACTTTTTGAAGTTCCGACAATGGTGGTTCTTCTTGAAAAGTTTTCATCCCAACGAATCCGATCGCACTCGATCTGGCCTTTGAGAATGGTGGCGGGGAAGGTCGTCCCTGGAAGGTTCTGAAGGTGCTCACGCTCATGTGCAATGACGCACCTGAAGCGGCCCTCGAGAATGGTGGCGAAGATGGTCATTCCGCGCCCCTTCTTCTTCATGCAGTTGGCAAAGTCCGCCAGCTTGGGATGGCATGGCATGTCAGGCGGGAGAATGCCCCACGGCTTGCAGAAGATGAGCGGGATGGGGTACCAGTTCTTGGGGTGTACCTGACTCGCTGTAGGCCGGAAAGAGGGCGTGGAGGAGAGTGTGGGGAGATGAGAGGGTGGAGAGAGAAGGTGAAGATGAGAAGGTGGGGATCAGTCTCGGGACAAAACGCATGAGGCAAAGCAGTGGGGCAGATGGAGAGAAAGGCATAAGTAAACACCAGAGGCAAAAAAGGTAAAATAAAGATGCTTGACCCTACGCTGTCTTCAGGGTCTAACTCTACCCAGCAATTTATTGAGTGCATGCCGCCCAGCCTGGGTCATACCTCCGAGGAACTTGAGGGAGCGCAGGGCGAGCTGCAGGTAGGCGGACTTGAATCCGTCGCCCCAGAAAAAAGAATCTGCAGTTTCTAAACGAGACTTTTATTGGGTTCATGCACTGCCTAGCCTAGCCCCATCCCATACCTCCAAGGAACTTGAGGGAGCGCAGGGCGAGCTGCAGGTAGGCGGACTTGAAGCCGTCACCCCAGTCACCGGCCTTGCCCTTGAGGCTGACGTAGTAGTATATGAGCACTGCTAGCAGCAGACACAGCAGCGTGAAGAACCACGATATCATGAACATGATCGCTGCAGAAGGGGCACAGGGGGAGAGGAGGGGGAGCACGTGAAGGGGGGGATAGTGTAAGAGGTGCGGGAGGGGTTGGTGGAGATGTGGAGACAAGGGAGCCAAAGAGAGGGATGGATCATTTCATCACACGAGCAGATGATGGGAAGGCAACAATAGCACACGGGAAAGAGGATAGCAGCTGACGAGCGGGATGATATTTCAGGTGGAAAAACGCCGCAAAGTTGCAGAAACAATGATAAAAGGATGAGAGAAAAAAGGAACAGACAAGAAACAAGAACTGGTTCTCACCAACGCAGAGGATGGCTCCTGCGAGGGCAGTGAGCGTGTGGTGCCACTTCCACCTGGGACGCCACGAGGGCGCATCCAGCAGATCCAGCAGGAAGCAGGAGAGGTTCACCCCGAGGTAGCACAGCAGGAAGAACATGGTGATAACCGGCGTCACATAATCCACGTCTCCGATGCACACGAATCCAGCACAGATCAGGAGCGTGCAGAGCGTGGCGAGGTAGGGCTCCTGGCCGTCCTCTGTCTTGAACCAGTCCAGGATGGGCAAGATGTCGTCGTTGGCAATGGCTGTGAGCAGGCGCGGTGCGCTCATGAGGTTCTGCATGGCAGCGCCGAGTGTGGAGAGGATGATGCCGATGTACACCACTGCTGGGGACGGCCAGGCTAGTGTGGCCGTCAGGAGCCTGGGAGGGAGAGGGAGAGACGAAGAGGAAGTAGTCTTCTGGTGTGTTCAAATATTGTACAGAGGGTGGAGAGGATGATGCCAGTGTAAACCACTGTTTGCAATGGCCAGGCTAGTGTGCCAGTCAGCAGCCTGGGGGTTTGAGGTGGGGGGGAAGGAAGGGAACAACTCGGTCAACAACACATGCTCTTTCCCTCTCCCCCATTTCCCCCTCGCATCACTACCCTTATCCCCATTCCTGATTCCTCCAGTAAATGGCCAACAGGCAAATATTTGCTAACACCAAGGATTTCCCCTTTCAAACCCCTTCCGCTCCCCTTTCAAACCCCTTCCGCTCCCCTTTCAAACCCCTTCCGCTCCCCTTCCGACGCCCTGCCACTCCCCTTCCAGCACACTGGCCTCTTCCCATCCATTCCATTTCCAGCCCCCCTCCCCTCCCTCCTCCCTCACCTGTCTGTGAGCAGCAGGTCTCTGAGCGCCACAGAGCCGAACATGAAGACAGCGAACACATAGAGCAGCGTGGTGGTGCCGATAGCCCAGAGAGTCCCAATGGGAATGGACTTCTGCGTGTCCTTGAGCGACGCCGACCGGTTGCTGCCCGCCATTATGCCTGTGACCGCAGGGTAAAAGAGCCCCAGCAGCTGACTGCAGCCGCGGGTCAGTTTCGAGAGGAGAGGGTAAACGACGGGAGAGGGGAGGAACGTGAAAGGACGAACGAGTGGGAATGAAATTCTCCTTGTTCTTGAGAGAGGTCAACTGGTGGCTTCCTGACTCTATCCCCGTGGTTGCAGGGTAGAGTAGACCTAGCAGCTGACAGCAGGCGGGCAAAGGGTGGGCGGGAGCGAGCGGGGGGGTTGGAAGAGAGGGAGGGAGGAGGGACGTGAAAGGAAGAGAGAGAGGGAAGGATATTTGGGAAAGAAAGATTTGGGGAGGGACGTGAGACAAAGTCAGTGAGGAGGGATCTGAGAGAAAACGGGGGAAGGATAGAAAGTAGAGGATGGAACAAACGTGAAGGGACGGCGGCTATAGAAAGGACGGAACAGGAGGTGAGGGTGGAACGAACGTGGAGGGATGTGAGAAGACTGCAATGGCAGAAAGCACAGAGGGTGAAAGGCAAGAATGCGGGGCTCACGTGAAGTCCCAATTGAAGTTGCCGTTTTCATCAGGAATGCCGTTGGCGTTGGTCTTCTGATAGTCTGACGCCCAGTTGCTCGACAGTGTGCTGGTGCTCAGCCCAGTCAGCCCCTCTGTTTTCAGACGATTGCACGCACGCACATCCCATCACCACACACGTGATACCACACACACACACAGACCCATGACAACTCCGAAACGCCATGCACATACCATCACCATTCGTGTGATACCCCACACACACACAGACCCGTGACAACCCCAAAATGCAAACGCCCACGCATATGTATGTGGACACATACAGGCAGAGACACGCAAGGTTAGACACATTCCAATAAGAACGTAACAGAACACGTGAAAGCACCATGCAGAACGGGGAAAGGGAGGCTAACTACCATACCTGGGCTGGGGCTGCGGGGAGCAACGATGATTCCGATGAAGATGCAAATGATGGAGATGATGGAGGGGAGGAGGAAGAGCGATTCTTCAAATCGACTAACTGAAACAGGGAGCTGGCTACCGTACCTGGGCTGCCGCTGCGGGGAGCAACGATGATTCCAATGAAGATGCAGAGGATGGCGAGGATGGAGGGGATGAGGAAGAGCGGCCCCACGCGCACGACCACACGCACGCCCCCCAGCACGACGATGCAGAGCACGACGGTGACGATCACTCCGTACACCTGCATGTCCGCCGTCGACGCCAGCTGCACTGTAGAGTTGGTCGTTGAGTTCAAGCCAAACGTCACCTGCTCCGCTGTGGGCCATGAGGGAATACACCAGGCATATGGGAGGATACAGGGCATGCGGGGAAATGGCGTGAGCGGAGGTTATACCAAATATACATTAGGCCGGGAATATATGGGATACTGGGGAAAGAGAGTCGTGGGGAAGGACTGAGATGGGAGACGGGTTAAGCGAGTACGTGGGCAGGTGCAGAGGATGGGTGGAAGATGGGAAAACTCACGTGGAAAGAGAGACATCTGGGGAAGCCAATCCAGCAGCGTTTCGACCGCACCAAGAATGTATCTGAGCAAAGGAGGGGAGGGGGAGGGGGAGTCCAGCAGGTCGACGGTACAGGTTGGCGGGATGAGATAGGCACTTCGACATGAGGAATCAGCCTTGCGGTAGCCAGATTCTAGACGTTCAAACTGTACGGAAGTAAAGGTACAGCGGCTGCCGGAGAGGGTGTGGAGGGTACTCACAGGGAGCCAGCGACTGCATTGCCGAGGAAGAAGCAGAGCCCTATGCTCACTCCCACCTCAGGCCCTAGCGCTCGCCCTATCAGGTAGTAAGGACCGCCTCCCTGCAGCACGCAACGCGGAAGATTGCAGGGATCAGGGCTGGATCTCCAATCCTCATCCCGACTTTAAAAGCCAGCACCAGGAACCGACTGATCGGACGTGAGACAACATAAAGCGCACAAGTTCTCTCCTCAATGCTCCTCTACAATACGAATGTCCCGAGTGTTTCCGACTTCTTCGACCAGTCTAAGCTGATTCATTTCTCGCATGATCCGTGATCGCGCTGGTGTGATATGTGTGCGCTGACCCGCAACTTCCAGGATCCGCATAATACACTTGTGAAGGGGACGGTGCTCACCTTCATGGCGCCGTTGGTGGCAATGGCAGAGAGGGAGAAGCCCGTAAGGACTGTGCTGAGGCACGTCAGCGCAACCAGCAGCAGGCTCTGCCCGATTCCCGCAATACCCACAATCCTGGCAACATGCAAACGAGACGCCGGGGCGTGGTGTGTAAAGCGACCGGAAAACGGGGGAAGATCAAATGCCGTATACGGTATCGGATGATCCGAGCTGAGCGACTTGATGGTTGATTGCGTGGCACAGGTAGAAACATCGGGTTCGGCAGAGAGCCACTCGCTGTACGTACCAGGAAAGACGAATGTAAAAGATAATTCCGAGGATGTTTTGAACGCACGGGATGTACACGCCGGTCAGTGTACCCAGCTTCGCTACTTTCATGCTCTGCACAAGACCAGACGCGATCAGGTGCGTGAGCCACATTACTTTCCAAAACAGGTTAAATATTATGTGTGAAGTATTATGTGTGCCTCATGTCTAAGCGAAACGATATGATTCGAATGTTTTCAACCCTGAATTGCGTTTCCGATTTTCAACTGTGGTATGAACGTACCCTGTCGGAGCCTCGGTGAACGTGCATCTCATCGCCGTCACGAGGACTCATGGGATGCTCACCAGCCATCCTGCACGTGCCGGTAAAAAGGTATTAGCAAGGAATTCAAAACACAATTGGATGTGATGTCGAATGTGAGGGAATGCGAATGGAAGAGTTGGGGCGTGGTTTCTGTACCTTCTCACGCCGACAGCATCGACCAGAGGGTCACTCTCGAAAAGCTCGAGCTTGGAGTCTCTCTCCCGTACGGCGCTGACAGGTGCAGGCTCATCCCCTCGCTGTCCATCTTCCATTGATCTGCTGAAGACGAGAAATCGAGAATGTAGAAGAAAGTAGAGAGCAAGTATCATCATGAGCTAAAACCATATAGAAATGATAGAAATGGGTATTTCCGATCGCGTCAATCAGCAACTATCTGAACTGCGATGTAGCTAGAAATAAACAGTTCTAACGAATCTACTGCAGTAGAAGAATGTTGACTATCTTCCACGTCAGCACTTACTCCTCATCACCATGAAGATCAACGGCGGACATCTCAAGGACTTGCTGCTGACCATCTGTGCCTCTCCCGGATCCACCTCTTTCCGGCTCCATTCCGACCTATGCTGGTCGAGTAGCTAACGTCCACAACAGCCTAGCCCACCGAAATTTCAGAAAACGGGAAGCGTAACCTAATTTGCAGACATCTAAGAACAAGGTTCCACGAATATGGAACCAAAGAACTAGTGAAGTATGTTCTTGTTTGATAGGAAAACTTCTAGGCTGGCTTCCTGGTAGCTGAATCTTGCAAGACAGCAAAGCAGCATCTCAGAAATCAGGAATTCATGAAGTCATCAACCAAGCATCACCGAACAGCAAGTCTGGTCTGCCCCAGAAAGGCTTGGATCTGGGCAGTTGCGAAAAGCCCGAGAGCTCAGAAACTGTCCACCTAACCAACAGTGTCAAAGCTGAAGTCCTGCCTCGGCATCGATTTTGTCCCCGCTTCGACATCGATTTCACTGCACGAGATCCCTGAAAGTCAGGCCTGGCGGCGAACCTGCGAAGCGAAGGCCTGCCACATTAGAGTTTCCCGCCCGATACGCAGTCATCTGATTCGTCCAAATTTTCGGTCTGTTTCTAAGTCAATCGTAGCCGTCAATAATCCTGGCCAGTCACATCTTTGTCAGACCATCTGATCATTTATGCATTGGGTGCCTGATTTGCTGCTTATCGTTTTATAGCAATGAATAAGCAGAATCGGTAAAGCGAATCACTCTGTAAAGAGCTATGAAATGATGCCCTGGCACACTTGTTTTCAGGCCGTGGAATGCGGTCCAATTGGTTCCTTCACGGTCTAACACGGCTCTCCTACATTCCTGCTTTCAAGCAGTAGCTTACTTCTTGGCGCTCCACGCATCGCATGTCTCGACTCGAAACCTGCGTTCATTTTTGGGTGAACTACTAACTTCTTAGCGTCTTCTGCGCTCGATGCCGTTTCTGTCGCTCCCACGGTAGGCCCACCCGCAGTGAAACATCTACTGCTGGGGCAAGTTGGAAACTCCTAGTCACGATGCTTCATCAGAAGCAGTTCGTTCGCAAGACGCGCAAAGGAGCCATACAGCGGGTGCGTAGTGGATGCGTTTCTAGCTTAACGTTGGTAGTCGCTTTGAATATTCACAGCCACGGCGTGGGGTAATACCACGATTCGTGTTATTAGCTTCGGGATTTGCATTCTGGCATTGCTTTCAAGAGATCAGAACTGTTCCGGCATCCGAAATGTGTTCTCAATACCGGAGAAACCAACCTTTTGTTCGGAGCGGACTACCTGGGAGTGTTTTATTAGGTAGACAAGTCGTCACTGCTTTTCAAGGACAAGGATTAGGATTTAAGGGCTTCAGGGTACGAGGTTTAGGGTCTGTGTGGAAGCGAAAGAATCGTGCATTCAGATTCCGCGCAAGAATCTCAAGCTCTTCTCAGTGGTCCCAAACACTAGCTCGCATTGCGTTTTTTTGACCCACAGGAAGGAGCATATTTGACTAAATCAACCCTTAATTGATGAATTTGCATCCCTTCATTACTCCACCATTTCTTGCCTGAATTGCCGGCGATGTCAGGTGGTGCGGGAGCACTATCTGCGCGACGACATTCCCTGTGGCGCGCTGCCCTGCGCCAAGTCGCCCACCACCGTCTGCGATAAGGATTCCGCTCGCCTCTCGCCTAATAACGAAACCATCCTCGTTATAGACACCAACGTCGCCCTGCACCAGGTGAGCTCTGGACCCTGCAGGCAGTACGGCCGGGATTACATATTATCTGGACCCTACTGGAACACCACGCCCATACCCTATCCCTGCCATGACCATATCCACATAGCCGTATGACCCCATATTTCCACCTTCATCCCCATAACCACAAAACATCATAGCTCTATATCATAGCTCTATATCTCCATAACCACGTGACTTTTGAGTCGACTCAAAAGTCATCTATATCATAGCTCTATACCTCCATAACCACATTGGTCATGGCCCCCTAACCCTCCCCACATCCCCTCATCTGTATCCCCATAACCGCCATATCCCGTTCCCCATCACCACTCATGCCTTTCAGATCGACCTGTTGGAGAATGCAGCGATCAGCAACGTGGTGGTGCTGTCAGTGGTGCTGGAGGAGGTGAAGTTGGTGTCAATTCCCCCAATACAACCCCTATCCCCCCCATCACCACTCATGCCTTTCAGATCGACCTGTTGGAGAATGCAGCGATCAGCAACGTGGTGGTGCTGTCGGTGGTGCTGGAGGAGGTGAAGAGTCGCAACGTGGCGGTGTACGGCCGCCTCAGGGCGCTCGTGGCAGAAGAAACTCGCCGCTTCTTTGTCTTTTCCAACGAGCACCACAAGTGAGTGCGAGCCTGCAGTCCTGCTGCAAGGCGAGTCACAAGGGCAGTAGCAATGTGGTGTGGCGGTCTCGGCACGGTCTTCTTTGGTGAACGCGGGGGGTGAGTGAGTGAGGGGCAGCGTAACAGGCATATATCGTACACCACCCTTTCCATCCTCCCCCTTTGTCACTTCGATTTTCTGAATGCTCCTTTTTGAATTTCCTTGCTCACTCTGTGCTCCTCGCTTTCCACCCTTCCCTCTTCCCCCTACCCGTCCCTCTCCCGCTTCCATTCTCCCCTCCCCATGTGCATGGGCTACCATGTGTGCGGCCCACAATCAGGGACACGTACATCAAAGCGGAACCAGGGGAGAGTCCCAACGACAGGAATGACCGAGGTGAGAAGGGCGTCATCTATATTGGAATCACTTGAAATCTATATTGAGAATTCTCAAAAGTGATTTCAATATAACCGAGGTGAGAAGGGCGTCATCTATATTGAAATCACTAAAAATCTATATTGAGAATTCTCAAAAGTGATTTCAATATAACCGAGGTGAGAAGGGCGTCATCTCCTCACGTTCCCCTCTTGCTTTTCTCCCCTCATCATTCCCGATGCACCCTCTTTCTCCTCGCTCTCCCATCGTCTCACACACCCTGTCTTTCCCTCCATCCACCCTCACTTACTTTTCGTCCTTTCGTTCCTTCCCAAACCCCTGCCTCTCCCCCACCTCACCCCTTGCAGCCATTCGGGTGGCAGCCCAGTGGTACCAGCAGCATCTGGGCGGCAAAGTGCCGGTCGTGCTCATAACAGACGATAAAGCCAACCTGGCAAAGGCGGTGGCGGGCGGCACGAAGGCCATGAGAGTGCGCGAGTATGTGGCGTCATTAGGGAGTGTAGAGCTGATGGATTTGGTGGTTAGCGCGGGGGACGGGGAGGAGGGGGAAGGAGGGGAGGGAGGGGAGAGAGGGGAGGGGGATAAGGCGGCGAGGGAGGAGGAGAACCGGGGGCTTCGTACGAACGTTTCTCGCAGCAAGAGGAAGAGAATTTACTCTGATGTGAGTGGTGTGGTGGGTGGCACTGTGGCAATGGATTGGGATGGATGTGCTGATGGTATGTGGTGTGGTGTGGTGTGGTGTGGTGTGGTGTGATGTGGCCACCACCAGGGGAAGCTGAGGCTGAGTTTCTGCAACTGCTTCGACTCCTCACCTCAACAACCTTTCCCTCACTCCTCTACCTTCACCCACTCCATTCCACTGACGCCCCCCCTGTCCTTTCACGCAGCACAAGCCCATGTCGGCAATAACAGCGGGGTTGCAGCGCGGGCTGTACCACCAGGGCAAGCTGCGAGTGAGCCGCTACAACTGCTTCGAGGCGTTTGTGGGCTCTGAGTCCCTGGGGGACGAGATCCTCGTTATAGGCAGATGCGATATGAACCGCGCTGTGGACGGGGATGTGGTGGCGGTGGAGCTGCTGCCGCGGGAGCAGTGGAAGGAACCCACGAGTGGGGCGCTGAGGGAGAGAGAAGACGACCATGATGAAGCTGCTAGTGAGTATGTTTTTCCTTAGGGCCGTCTTAAGGGTGGATGGGGATGTGGTGGCGGTGGAGCTGCTGCCGCGGGAGCAGTGGAAGGAACCCACAAGCTGCGAGAAAGGGAGGACGATATGATGATGCTGCTGGTGACCAGCAACATGGTGAGAGAAAGGGAGGAAGGGATAGATCGAGTGCACTCGACTTTTGAGACGTCTCAAAAGGGATAGATCGAGTGCACTCGTCTGCCTCACTTAATGCTGTTCAAACCTGTTTGAGTGTTTCTGTCCCTCCCCTCTCCCACTGCCATAATCCTCTCTTCCGTATCACCAGCGGAGGAGCAGGGCGAGGAGGACTCAGTGGGTCTGCCTCCCGCCTCGGCAGACGACGCGCCGTCCACTCTCTCCTCTGCTGCAGCCGCGCTCTCTCTAGACAAGGATGCTCATGGCATGGGGGAGGGCGGTGGTGGAGGAGGGGGAGGGGGAGAGGGGGGGAAGGGGCCGTCAGAGCTGGCAAGGCCAACGGGGCGGGTGGTGGGGATAATCAAGCGCAACTGGCGCACGTGAGTGGTTGGGGGTGGAGACATGAACATGTGAGTTGCTCTTATTTGTTGAGACTGTGTCTTTGAAGTGACTGCTGACCGCAGGGCGCCTGTGACCACAGGACAGTCTCCCCTCTTTGTCGCTGCCGACTGCAGGCCACCTCGTGACTAAACTCTTACTCCTTCGTGCCCCCTCTCCCCTGCTACTTCCTTCCCGCCCCTCCTTTTTCCCGGCTTCTTTCCCCCAGCTATGCAGGGTCCCTCGCCCCCATGCGCACACCCCCAGCATCAGCTGGGGCGTTGGTGCGTGCCCTCTTTGTCGCTGCCGACCGCAGGGTGCCGCGCATCCGCGTGGAGACAAGGCAGGCCGCCCAGCTGATGGGCAAGCGCATCCTGGTGGCCATCGACAGCTGGCAGCCCGACAGCGCGTTCCCCTCGGGTCACTACGTGAAGACGCTGGGGGATATTGGCGACAGGGAGACAGAGAGCGAGGTGAGAAGGGTGGAGGAATGAGTGGCGGAGGAGAAGTGTGGGGAGAGTGATTGAGGGGAGGAAGTATGGATGAGTACAGGTGGGGAAAATGGGCAGGCATGGGTGACGAGCTGGCCCCTTGGGGTGAAGAGGGGGACTCTGGAATTTGGATACATATGAAGCTCTGCACTTGGTGCCCCTCCCCACTCCCCTCACCCCCACTCTTTTTTTGAGATGTCTCAAAATTGCCCCTCCCCACTCCCCTCTCACCCGCACTCTTTCCTGCCTCCAGCTGCTGCTAATGGAAAACGACATTGATGCGCGCCCCTTCTCCCAGCAAGTGCTCTCCTGCCTGCCGCCGCTGCCGTGGTCCGTCTCCCCAGCGGACATCACGGACCCGCGCACCAAGAGGAAGAGCCTGCGCCACGTGTTCAGTGTCGACCCCATTGGTTGCCGGGATATTGATGATGCGCTTCACTGCGTGCCTCTTCTCATTTTTCCCCTCCTTCACCCTCTCCTCCCCACATTCCTCCTCCAGCTGCTGCTAATGGAAAACGACATTGATGCGCGTCCCTTCTCGCAGCAAGTGCTCGCCTGCCTGCCGCCACTGCCGTGGTCCGTGTCACCAGCGGACATCACAGACCCCAAGACCAAGAGGGAGGACCTGCGCCACGTGCGTGTGTTCAGTGTCGACCCTATCGGGTGCCGGGATATTGATGACGCTCTGCACTGCGTGCCGCTCCCCAATGGCAATTTCGACGTCGGCGTTCGTGAGTAATGTTAACCTTGCTGTGGGAGGGAAGTCTAGGCGCTGTGCTTGTGATTAGTTTGAGGTTTCGAGAAAGGAACGCGAGTCAATGAGAAAGGAATGCGAGTCAATGAGAAAGGAATGCGAGTCAATGAGAAAGGAATGCGAGTCAATGAGAAAGGAATGCGAGTCAATGAGAAAGGAATGCGAGTCAATGAGAAAGGAATGCGAGTCAATGAGAAAGGAATGCGAGTCAATGAGAAAGGAATGCGAGTCAATGAGAAAGGAATGCGAGTCAATGAGTCAAGTACACATGCGTGTGTTCAATGTCGACCCCATCGGGTGTCGGGATATTGGTGATGCTCTGCACTGCGCGCCGCTCCCTAGTGGCCACTCCGACGTTGGCGTTTGTAAGTGCTGCTGACCTTGCCGTGGGCGGAAGCACAAGAACTATGCGTGTCCCAATTTTCCCTCTCGCATGCTGCCGGCTTTGGCCCACATCACGAGACATAAAATACGGGACTCACATTGTGCTGTCGGCACGTGTACTTGAGTCAAGTTCAAACCACCGTCTCTTTTCAACCGCATCTGTCCCCTATCCGACCGGCCCCCTGCAGACATAGCGGACGTGACCAACTTTGTGCTGCCCGACATGCCTCTAGACGTGGAGGCATCGCAGCGAGGCCACCTCCCTCACGTCAAACCCACCTGTCCCATATCCCTCCTGTCTCCCATCCCACCTCTCTCTCTTCCGCCCTGCCCTACCTGTCCAGACATAGCGGACGTGACCAACTTTGTGCTGCCGGGCACGCCTCTGGACGTGGAGGCGTCGCAGCGAGGCACTTCTGTGTACCTGGTGGAGCGCCGCATTGACATGCTGCCCAAACCACTCACTGAAGGTGGGAGGGTGGGGAGGGAGGTTCGTTTGCCTACAACCTGTATAAGCCAATCACAATAGGTGGAAGGGTGAGGAGGAAGTTAATTGGATGCGTATAGCGTCGCAGCGAGGCACATACGTGTACCTGGTGGAGCGCCGCATTGACATGCTGCCCCAAGCTGCTCACTGAAGGTAGGACACAACCTCCACTAGTCCTGCATGCAACATTTAGATTAGCAACTTTCTTTTGCCCTCCTCTGCACCCTCCCACTCTGCCTCACCTCACCTCACCCCTCACCTCACCCCTCACCTCACCCCTCCCACCTCACCCCTCCCACCTCACCCCTCTCACCCTCACCTCAACCCCCCTCGCCTCACCCTCCCTCGCCTCACCCTCCCTCGCCAGACATATGCTCCCTCCGTGGCGGTGTGGAGCGACTCGCCTTTTCCTGTATTTGGGTCAGTGCTGCCTCTGCTGCTATTGTGTTGTTCGCTCTTCTGTTTGTGCTTTTGTTTGTGCTGCTGTTTGTGGTGCTGCTGCTGCTGCTGCTGCTTCTGGTGCTGCTGCTGCTGCTGCTGCTGCTGGTGCTGTTGCTGCTGGTTCAACCGTTGAGAATCATAGCGTAACTGTTGTTGCCTGTCTGAGCACTCGCCAGCATGCACTAGCTGGCACATTATCAAGAACGGATACTATCAGCACATCAAATGCTGATTGTAACCCTTAACTTCTCATTTTTTGTTGATAATCACACCTGTTGATTCTGGTCTGAGTATTCCTTGTCAGCATGCACAAGCCGGCACATTATCAAAAATTGGTAGCACATCATTTGTTGATTGGTAACCTTGCTTTGACCTCTTTGTTTCCTGGCCACCATCACCACCAGGAGATGACCCCTGAGGCAGAGATCGTGTCGGTGCGCTTCACCAAGAGTGTCATCAAATCTGCTGCTGCGTTGTCCTATGTGGAGGCACAGGCACGCATGGATGATGAGTGAGTGATGCATTGATGCATGGTGTGCAGTGCATGCAGGTATGCGCATGCACATGTGCATGGAATTTTCCTATGTGAAGGCACAGGCGTGCACGGATGATGGGTGAATGAGTGACGCATGGATGATGTTTGCGGACGATGGACATGGGGCATGCAGGCATGTGTGTGCAATAATAGTGGGTGAAGTGAAGGATGGATGATAGGCGTGCAGGAATGTGTATGTAGCATGGGTGGTCACTAAGTTTCAACATTGTGGGTGGCATGTGTGGGGATGATGATAGCGGCCTGCCAAGCCCTTCATGTGCCAAGCTCCATCTCTCATCACTCTTCATCTTCCATGCATGTACCCATATGCCAATGCTAGCTCTATATTGCGTCACCACCAACCCGTTCGCAACATTCAACCTCTTCCTCCCGCCTCCCTCTTCCCGTCCCACCCTCCCCCCACCCCCTGCTGACGTCACCATGGCATCAGGCGCATGCATGATGACCTCACAAGAGACCTTCGCAACCTCAACCGCCTTGCCAAGGTACTGTGGCATGCAATACCATACAGTACCATACCATACCATGCCATACCATACCATACCATACCATACCATACCATACCATACCATACCATACCATACCATACCATACCATACCATACCATACCATACCATACCATACCATACCATACCATACCATACCACACCATACCGTACCGTACCGTACCATGCCATCCCCTTTTCCATGCCAGGTGATGAGGCAGAGGCGCATAGACAGGGGAGCGCTCACGCTGGCATCACCAGAAGTCAAGTTTGAGATCGACACCGAGACACACGACCCCCTTGACGTTGGTACGACCCTTCTCACCCCTCTGCATGTTGTCCCTCCCTTTAGGTTCGTCCATACGCCCCTTTCCCCCATCCCACACCCCCTGTCGTCACCATTCCACACCCTCCATGTGTCTCCTGGAGCCATGCACCCCATTGCTCCCCATTCCCTCCCTCTCCTCCCCATTCCGTCCTTTTAAGTCATGTACCTAGTGCGAGAGGCCCAACCACTTGGAAGAGGAGTTAGTGTTTGCATGCCATCAGTGCCCTCTCTACCATTCCTCCCCCCCACTCCCGTCCATTCCCCCATTCTCTACCTGCTCTTGCTACCCATTCAGGCATGTACCTGGTGCGCGAGGCCAATCACATGATAGAGGAGTTCATGCTGGCATTCATGCCCTCTCAACCTCTCTGTCCCTCTGCCCTTTGTCCCCTACCCATCCCTCCCACCCTTACCCACCTCCCTCCAGGCATGTATTTGGTGCGAGAGGCCAATCACATGATAGAGGAGTTCATGCTGGCAGCCAATGTGTCCGTAGCTGAGAAGATTCTCCAGCACTTCGCCTCTTGCTCACTGCTCAGGTAATTCCCCACTGAGGACTCAGGTGGAATCTCAGGTGAAATTCCAGATGCAATGGACGCTCACTTGTAGCACATGCTTCTCTGCTCCCTTGTGTGCCAGGACAGTGGCACCTGTTATTCGCATGTCATTCGCTTTACTCACCACTTCCCAATGCTAAGTTCCCCAAACCCACACACACGAAACGTCTGGGCACCCACTTGCATGTCTCCTCTTCCTCTACCCCGCCCTTTGCTTGCTCCCACACACAGGCGGCACCCCACCCCGTCGCCCAACATGTTTGAGCCGCTGCTGCGAACAGCAGAGGCCGTGGGCATCGCTGTGGACACCTCCTCCTCTAAGAACCTCGCTGACTCGCTTGACCGCGCTGTGGTGAGTTGATCAGGGTGCGGTCCCGTTGACTCTTGTCGACTTTCCTGGCATGCAGTTTGCTTTGTTGACATGATTACTATCTACAGCTAGTTTGCGTGCGATGGGTCGACTAAAAAATCGACTCATCACACGCGGATTACTATCTACAGCTAGTTTGCCACTTCCGTTTTTGCTACCATCTCCGTTGAGAGCCACTTCCCTTCTCCTTCCCGTATTTCCCTCCGTCCCTCTGTCCTCCGCCCATTGTGCCCCTCCGTCCTTCTGTCTTCTGCCCCTCTGCTCCCTCGTGCCCCTCTGCTCCCTCGTGCCCCTCTGCTCCCTCGTGCCCCTCTGCTCCCTCGTGCCCCTCTGCTCCCTCGTGCCCCTCTGCTCCCTCGTGCCCCTCTGCTCCCTCGTGCCCCTCTGCTCCCTCGTGCCCCTCTGCTCCCTCGTGCCCCTCTGCTCCCTCGTGCCCCTCTGCTCCCTCGTGCCCCTCTGCTCCCTCGTGCCCCTCTGCTCCCTCGTGCCCCTCTGCTCCCTCGTGCCCCTCTGCTCCCTCGTGCCCCTCTGCTCCCTCGTGCCCCTCTGCTCCCTCGTGCCCCTCTGCTCCCTCGTGCCCCTCTGCTCCCTCGTGCCCCTCTGCTCCCTCGTGCCCCTCTGCTCCCTCGTGCCCCTCTGCTCCCTCGTGCCCCTCTGCTCCCTCGTGCCCCTCTGCTCCCTCGTGCCCCTCTGCTCCCTCGTGCCCCTCTGCTCCCTCGTGCCCCTCTGCTCCCTCGTGCCCCTCTGCTCCCTCGTGCCCCTCTGCTCCCTCGTGCCCCTCTGCTCCCTCGTGCCCCTCTGCTCCCTCGTGCCCCTCTGCTCCCTCGTGCCCCTCTGCTCCCTCGTGCCCCTCTGCTCCCTCGTGCCCCTCTGCTCCCTCGTGCCCCTCTGCTCCCTCGTGCCCCTCTGCTCCCTCGTGCCCCTCTGCTCCCTCGTGCCCCTCTGCTCCCTCGTGCCCCTCTGCTCCCTCGTGCCCCTCTGCTCCCTCGTGCCCCTCTGCTCCCTCGTGCCCCTCTGCTCCCTCGTGCCCCTCTGCTCCCTCGTGCCCCTCTGCTCCCTCGTGCCCCTCTGCTCCCTCGTGCCCCTCTGCTCCCTCGTGCCCCTCTGCTCCCTCGTGCCCCTCTGCTCCCTCGTGCCCCTCTGCTCCCTCGTGCCCCTCTGCTCCCTCGTGCCCCTCTGCTCCCTCGTGCCCCTCTGCTCCCTCGTGCCCCTCTGCTCCCTCGTGCCCCTCTGCTCCCTCGTGCCCCTCTGCTCCCTCGTGCCCCTCTGCTCCCTCGTGCCCCTCTGCTCCCTCGTGCCCCTCTGCTCCCTCGTGCCCCTCTGCTCCCTCGTGCCCCTCTGCTCCCTCGTGCCCCTCTGCTCCCTCGTGCCCCTCTGCTCCCTCGTGCCCCTCTGCTCCCTCGTGCCCCTCTGCTCCCTCGTGCCCCTCTGCTCCCTCGTGCCCCTCTGCTCCCTCGTGCCCCTCTGCTCCCTCGTGCCCCTCTGCTCCCTCGTGCCCCTCTGCTCCCTCGTGCCCCTCTGCTCCCTCGTGCCCCTCTGCTCCCTCGTGCCCCTCTGCTCCCTCGTGCCCCTCTGCTCCCTCGTGCCCCTCTGCTCCCTCGTGCCCCTCTGCTCCCTCGTGCCCCTCTGCTCCCTCGTGCCCCTCTGCTCCCTCGTGCCCCTCTGCTCCCTCGTGCCCCTCTGCTCCCTCGTGCCCCTCTGCTCCCTCGTGCCCCTCTGCTCCCTCGTGCCCCTCTGCTCCCTCGTGCCCCTCTGCTCCCTCGTGCCCCTCTGCTCCCTCGTGCCCCTCTGCTCCCTCGTGCCCCTCTGCTCCCTCGTGCCCCTCTGCTCCCTCGTGCCCCTCTGCTCCCTCGTGCCCCTCTGCTCCCTCGTGCCCCTCTGCTCCCTCGTGCCCCTCTGCTCCCTCGTGCCCCTCTGCTCCCTCGTGCCCCTCTGCTCCCTCGTGCCCCTCTGCTCCCTCGTGCCCCTCTGCTCCCTCGTGCCCCTCTGCTCCCTCGTGCCCCTCTGCTCCCTCGTGCCCCTCTGCTCCCTCGTGCCCCTCTGCTCCCTCGTGCCCCTCTGCTCCCTCGTGCCCCTCTGCTCCCTCGTGCCCCTCTGCTCCCTCGTGCCCCTCTGCTCCCTCGTGCCCCTCTGCTCCCTCGTGCCCCTCTGCTCCCTCGTGCCCCTCTGCTCCCTCGTGCCCCTCTGCTCCCTCGTGCCCCTCTGCTCCCTCGTGCCCCTCTGCTCCCTCGTGCCCCTCTGCTCCCTCGTGCCCCTCTGCTCCCTCGTGCCCCTCTGCTCCCTCGTGCCCCTCTGCTCCCTCGTGCCCCTCTGCTCCCTCGTGCCCCTCTGCTCCCTCGTGCCCCTCTGCTCCCTCGTGCCCCTCTGCTCCCTCGTGCCCCTCTGCTCCCTCGTGCCCCTCTGCTCCCTCGTGCCCCTCTGCTCCCTCGTGCCCCTCTGCTCCCTCGTGCCCCTCTGCTCCCTCGTGCCCCTCTGCTCCCTCGTGCCCCTCTGCTCCCTCGTGCCCCTCTGCTCCCTCGTGCCCCTCTGCTCCCTCGTGCCCCTCTGCTCCCTCGTGCCCCTCTGCTCCCTCGTGCCCCTCTGCTCCCTCGTGCCCCTCTGCTCCCTCGTGCCCCTCTGCTCCCTCGTGCCCCTCTGCTCCCTCGTGCCCCTCTGCTCCCTCGTGCCCCTCTGCTCCCTCGTGCCCCTCTGCTCCCTCGTGCCCCTCTGCTCCCTCGTGCCCCTCTGCTCCCTCGTGCCCCTCTGCTCCCTCGTGCCCCTCTGCTCCCTCGTGCCCCTCTGCTCCCTCGTGCCCCTCTGCTCCCTCGTGCCCCTCTGCTCCCTCGTGCCCCTCTGCTCCCTCGTGCCCCTCTGCTCCCTCGTGCCCCTCTGCTCCCTCGTGCCCCTCTGCTCCCTCGTGCCCCTCTGCTCCCTCGTGCCCCTCTGCTCCCTCGTGCCCCTCTGCTCCCTCGTGCCCCTCTGCTCCCTCGTGCCCCTCTGCTCCCTCGTGCCCCTCTGCTCCCTCGTGCCCCTCTGCTCCCTCGTGCCCCTCTGCTCCCTCGTGCCCCTCTGCTCCCTCGTGCCCCTCTGCTCCCTCGTGCCCCTCTGCTCCCTCGTGCCCCTCTGCTCCCTCGTGCCCCTCTGCTCCCTCGTGCCCCTCTGCTCCCTCGTGCCCCTCTGCTCCCTCGTGCCCCTCTGCTCCCTCGTGCCCCTCTGCTCCCTCGTGCCCCTCTGCTCCCTCGTGCCCCTCTGCTCCCTCGTGCCCCTCTGCTCCCTCGTGCCCCTCTGCTCCCTCGTGCCCCTCTGCTCCCTCGTGCCCCTCTGCTCCCTCGTGCCCCTCTGCTCCCTCGTGCCCCTCTGCTCCCTCGTGCCCCTCTGCTCCCTCGTGCCCCTCTGCTCCCTCGTGCCCCTCTGCTCCCTCGTGCCCCTCTGCTCCCTCGTGCCCCTCTGCTCCCTCGTGCCCCTCTGCTCCCTCGTGCCCCTCTGCTCCCTCGTGCCCCTCTGCTCCCTCGTGCCCCTCTGCTCCCTCGTGCCCCTCTGCTCCCTCGTGCCCCTCTGCTCCCTCGTGCCCCTCTGCTCCCTCGTGCCCCTCTGCTCCCTCGTGCCCCTCTGCTCCCTCGTGCCCCTCTGCTCCCTCGTGCCCCTCTGCTCCCTCGTGCCCCTCTGCTCCCTCGTGCCCCTCTGCTCCCTCGTGCCCCTCTGCTCCCTCGTGCCCCTCTGCTCCCTCGTGCCCCTCTGCTCCCTCGTGCCCCTCTGCTCCCTCGTGCCCCTCTGCTCCCTCGTGCCCCTCTGCTCCCTCGTGCCCCTCTGCTCCCTCGTGCCCCTCTGCTCCCTCGTGCCCCTCTGCTCCCTCGTGCCCCTCTGCTCCCTCGTGCCCCTCTGCTCCCTCGTGCCCCTCTGCTCCCTCGTGCCCCTCTGCTCCCTCGTGCCCCTCTGCTCCCTCGTGCCCCTCTGCTCCCTCGTGCCCCTCTGCTCCCTCGTGCCCCTCTGCTCCCTCGTGCCCCTCTGCTCCCTCGTGCCCCTCTGCTCCCTCGTGCCCCTCTGCTCCCTCGTGCCCCTCTGCTCCCTCGTGCCCCTCTGCTCCCTCGTGCCCCTCTGCTCCCTCGTGCCCCTCTGCTCCCTCGTGCCCCTCTGCTCCCTCGTGCCCCTCTGCTCCCTCGTGCCCCTCTGCTCCCTCGTGCCCCTCTGCTCCCTCGTGCCCCTCTGCTCCCTCGTGCCCCTCTGCTCCCTCGTGCCCCTCTGCTCCCTCGTGCCCCTCTGCTCCCTCGTGCCCCTCTGCTCCCTCGTGCCCCTCTGCTCCCTCGTGCCCCTCTGCTCCCTCGTGCCCCTCTGCTCCCTCGTGCCCCTCTGCTCCCTCGTGCCCCTCTGCTCCCTCGTGCCCCTCTGCTCCCTCGTGCCCCTCTGCTCCCTCGTGCCCCTCTGCTCCCTCGTGCCCCTCTGCTCCCTCGTGCCCCTCTGCTCCCTCGTGCCCCTCTGCTCCCTCGTGCCCCTCTGCTCCCTCGTGCCCCTCTGCTCCCTCGTGCCCCTCTGCTCCCTCGTGCCCCTCTGCTCCCTCGTGCCCCTCTGCTCCCTCGTGCCCCTCTGCTCCCTCGTGCCCCTCTGCTCCCTCGTGCCCCTCTGCTCCCTCGTGCCCCTCTGCTCCCTCGTGCCCCTCTGCTCCCTCGTGCCCCTCTGCTCCCTCGTGCCCCTCTGCTCCCTCGTGCCCCTCTGCTCCCTCGTGCCCCTCTGCTCCCTCGTGCCCCTCTGCTCCCTCGTGCCCCTCTGCTCCCTCGTGCCCCTCTGCTCCCTCGTGCCCCTCTGCTCCCTCGTGCCCCTCTGCTCCCTCGTGCCCCTCTGCTCCCTCGTGCCCCTCTGCTCCCTCGTGCCCCTCTGCTCCCTCGTGCCCCTCTGCTCCCTCGTGCCCCTCTGCTCCCTCGTGCCCCTCTGCTCCCTCGTGCCCCTCTGCTCCCTCGTGCCCCTCTGCTCCCTCGTGCCCCTCTGCTCCCTCGTGCCCCTCTGCTCCCTCGTGCCCCTCTGCTCCCTCGTGCCCCTCTGCTCCCTCGTGCCCCTCTGCTCCCTCGTGCCCCTCTGCTCCCTCGTGCCCCTCTGCTCCCTCGTGCCCCTCTGCTCCCTCGTGCCCCTCTGCTCCCTCGTGCCCCTCTGCTCCCTCGTGCCCCTCTGCTCCCTCGTGCCCCTCTGCTCCCTCGTGCCCCTCTGCTCCCTCGTGCCCCTCTGCTCCCTCGTGCCCCTCTGCTCCCTCGTGCCCCTCTGCTCCCTCGTGCCCCTCTGCTCCCTCGTGCCCCTCTGCTCCCTCGTGCCCCTCTGCTCCCTCGTGCCCCTCTGCTCCCTCGTGCCCCTCTGCTCCCTCGTGCCCCTCTGCTCCCTCGTGCCCCTCTGCTCCCTCGTGCCCCTCTGCTCCCTCGTGCCCCTCTGCTCCCTCGTGCCCCTCTGCTCCCTCGTGCCCCTCTGCTCCCTCGTGCCCCTCTGCTCCCTCGTGCCCCTCTGCTCCCTCGTGCCCCTCTGCTCCCTCGTGCCCCTCTGCTCCCTCGTGCCCCTCTGCTCCCTCGTGCCCCTCTGCTCCCTCGTGCCCCTCTGCTCCCTCGTGCCCCTCTGCTCCCTCGTGCCCCTCTGCTCCCTCGTGCCCCTCTGCTCCCTCGTGCCCCTCTGCTCCCTCGTGCCCCTCTGCTCCCTCGTGCCCCTCTGCTCCCTCGTGCCCCTCTGCTCCCTCGTGCCCCTCTGCTCCCTCGTGCCCCTCTGCTCCCTCGTGCCCCTCTGCTCCCTCGTGCCCCTCTGCTCCCTCGTGCCCCTCTGCTCCCTCGTGCCCCTCTGCTCCCTCGTGCCCCTCTGCTCCCTCGTGCCCCTCTGCTCCCTCGTGCCCCTCTGCTCCCTCGTGCCCCTCTGCTCCCTCGTGCCCCTCTGCTCCCTCGTGCCCCTCTGCTCCCTCGTGCCCCTCTGCTCCCTCGTGCCCCTCTGCTCCCTCGTGCCCCTCTGCTCCCTCGTGCCCCTCTGCTCCCTCGTGCCCCTCTGCTCCCTCGTGCCCCTCTGCTCCCTCGTGCCCCTCTGCTCCCTCGTGCCCCTCTGCTCCCTCGTGCCCCTCTGCTCCCTCGTGCCCCTCTGCTCCCTCGTGCCCCTCTGCTCCCTCGTGCCCCTCTGCTCCCTCGTGCCCCTCTGCTCCCTCGTGCCCCTCTGCTCCCTCGTGCCCCTCTGCTCCCTCGTGCCCCTCTGCTCCCTCGTGCCCCTCTGCTCCCTCGTGCCCCTCTGCTCCCTCGTGCCCCTCTGCTCCCTCGTGCCCCTCTGCTCCCTCGTGCCCCTCTGCTCCCTCGTGCCCCTCTGCTCCCTCGTGCCCCTCTGCTCCCTCGTGCCCCTCTGCTCCCTCGTGCCCCTCTGCTCCCTCGTGCCCCTCTGCTCCCTCGTGCCCCTCTGCTCCCTCGTGCCCCTCTGCTCCCTCGTGCCCCTCTGCTCCCTCGTGCCCCTCTGCTCCCTCGTGCCCCTCTGCTCCCTCGTGCCCCTCTGCTCCCTCGTGCCCCTCTGCTCCCTCGTGCCCCTCTGCTCCCTCGTGCCCCTCTGCTCCCTCGTGCCCCTCTGCTCCCTCGTGCCCCTCTGCTCCCTCGTGCCCCTCTGCTCCCTCGTGCCCCTCTGCTCCCTCGTGCCCCTCTGCTCCCTCGTGCCCCTCTGCTCCCTCGTGCCCCTCTGCTCCCTCGTGCCCCTCTGCTCCCTCGTGCCCCTCTGCTCCCTCGTGCCCCTCTGCTCCCTCGTGCCCCTCTGCTCCCTCGTGCCCCTCTGCTCCCTCGTGCCCCTCTGCTCCCTCGTGCCCCTCTGCTCCCTCGTGCCCCTCTGCTCCCTCGTGCCCCTCTGCTCCCTCGTGCCCCTCTGCTCCCTCGTGCCCCTCTGCTCCCTCGTGCCCCTCTGCTCCCTCGTGCCCCTCTGCTCCCTCGTGCCCCTCTGCTCCCTCGTGCCCCTCTGCTCCCTCGTGCCCCTCTGCTCCCTCGTGCCCCTCTGCTCCCTCGTGCCCCTCTGCTCCCTCGTGCCCCTCTGCTCCCTCGTGCCCCTCTGCTCCCTCGTGCCCCTCTGCTCCCTCGTGCCCCTCTGCTCCCTCGTGCCCCTCTGCTCCCTCGTGCCCCTCTGCTCCCTCGTGCCCCTCTGCTCCCTCGTGCCCCTCTGCTCCCTCGTGCCCCTCTGCTCCCTCGTGCCCCTCTGCTCCCTCGTGCCCCTCTGCTCCCTCGTGCCCCTCTGCTCCCTCGTGCCCCTCTGCTCCCTCGTGCCCCTCTGCTCCCTCGTGCCCCTCTGCTCCCTCGTGCCCCTCTGCTCCCTCGTGCCCCTCTGCTCCCTCGTGCCCCTCTGCTCCCTCGTGCCCCTCTGCTCCCTCGTGCCCCTCTGCTCCCTCGTGCCCCTCTGCTCCCTCGTGCCCCTCTGCTCCCTCGTGCCCCTCTGCTCCCTCGTGCCCCTCTGCTCCCTCGTGCCCCTCTGCTCCCTCGTGCCCCTCTGCTCCCTCGTGCCCCTCTGCTCCCTCGTGCCCCTCTGCTCCCTCGTGCCCCTCTGCTCCCTCGTGCCCCTCTGCTCCCTCGTGCCCCTCTGCTCCCTCGTGCCCCTCTGCTCCCTCGTGCCCCTCTGCTCCCTCGTGCCCCTCTGCTCCCTCGTGCCCCTCTGCTCCCTCGTGCCCCTCTGCTCCCTCGTGCCCCTCTGCTCCCTCGTGCCCCTCTGCTCCCTCGTGCCCCTCTGCTCCCTCGTGCCCCTCTGCTCCCTCGTGCCCCTCTGCTCCCTCGTGCCCCTCTGCTCCCTCGTGCCCCTCTGCTCCCTCGTGCCCCTCTGCTCCCTCGTGCCCCTCTGCTCCCTCGTGCCCCTCTGCTCCCTCGTGCCCCTCTGCTCCCTCGTGCCCCTCTGCTCCCTCGTGCCCCTCTGCTCCCTCGTGCCCCTCTGCTCCCTCGTGCCCCTCTGCTCCCTCGTGCCCCTCTGCTCCCTCGTGCCCCTCTGCTCCCTCGTGCCCCTCTGCTCCCTCGTGCCCCTCTGCTCCCTCGTGCCCCTCTGCTCCCTCGTGCCCCTCTGCTCCCTCGTGCCCCTCTGCTCCCTCGTGCCCCTCTGCTCCCTCGTGCCCCTCTGCTCCCTCGTGCCCCTCTGCTCCCTCGTGCCCCTCTGCTCCCTCGTGCCCCTCTGCTCCCTCGTGCCCCTCTGCTCCCTCGTGCCCCTCTGCTCCCTCGTGCCCCTCTGCTCCCTCGTGCCCCTCTGCTCCCTCGTGCCCCTCTGCTCCCTCGTGCCCCTCTGCTCCCTCGTGCCCCTCTGCTCCCTCGTGCCCCTCTGCTCCCTCGTGCCCCTCTGCTCCCTCGTGCCCCTCTGCTCCCTCGTGCCCCTCTGCTCCCTCGTGCCCCTCTGCTCCCTCGTGCCCCTCTGCTCCCTCGTGCCCCTCTGCTCCCTCGTGCCCCTCTGCTCCCTCGTGCCCCTCTGCTCCCTCGTGCCCCTCTGCTCCCTCGTGCCCCTCTGCTCCCTCGTGCCCCTCTGCTCCCTCGTGCCCCTCTGCTCCCTCGTGCCCCTCTGCTCCCTCGTGCCCCTCTGCTCCCTCGTGCCCCTCTGCTCCCTCGTGCCCCTCTGCTCCCTCGTGCCCCTCTGCTCCCTCGTGCCCCTCTGCTCCCTCGTGCCCCTCTGCTCCCTCGTGCCCCTCTGCTCCCTCGTGCCCCTCTGCTCCCTCGTGCCCCTCTGCTCCCTCGTGCCCCTCTGCTCCCTCGTGCCCCTCTGCTCCCTCGTGCCCCTCTGCTCCCTCGTGCCCCTCTGCTCCCTCGTGCCCCTCTGCTCCCTCGTGCCCCTCTGCTCCCTCGTGCCCCTCTGCTCCCTCGTGCCCCTCTGCTCCCTCGTGCCCCTCTGCTCCCTCGTGCCCCTCTGCTCCCTCGTGCCCCTCTGCTCCCTCGTGCCCCTCTGCTCCCTCGTGCCCCTCTGCTCCCTCGTGCCCCTCTGCTCCCTCGTGCCCCTCTGCTCCCTCGTGCCCCTCTGCTCCCTCGTGCCCCTCTGCTCCCTCGTGCCCCTCTGCTCCCTCGTGCCCCTCTGCTCCCTCGTGCCCCTCTGCTCCCTCGTGCCCCTCTGCTCCCTCGTGCCCCTCTGCTCCCTCGTGCCCCTCTGCTCCCTCGTGCCCCTCTGCTCCCTCGTGCCCCTCTGCTCCCTCGTGCCCCTCTGCTCCCTCGTGCCCCTCTGCTCCCTCGTGCCCCTCTGCTCCCTCGTGCCCCTCTGCTCCCTCGTGCCCCTCTGCTCCCTCGTGCCCCTCTGCTCCCTCGTGCCCCTCTGCTCCCTCGTGCCCCTCTGCTCCCTCGTGCCCCTCTGCTCCCTCGTGCCCCTCTGCTCCCTCGTGCCCCTCTGCTCCCTCGTGCCCCTCTGCTCCCTCGTGCCCCTCTGCTCCCTCGTGCCCCTCTGCTCCCTCGTGCCCCTCTGCTCCCTCGTGCCCCTCTGCTCCCTCGTGCCCCTCTGCTCCCTCGTGCCCCTCTGCTCCCTCGTGCCCCTCTGCTCCCTCGTGCCCCTCTGCTCCCTCGTGCCCCTCTGCTCCCTCGTGCCCCTCTGCTCCCTCGTGCCCCTCTGCTCCCTCGTGCCCCTCTGCTCCCTCGTGCCCCTCTGCTCCCTCGTGCCCCTCTGCTCCCTCGTGCCCCTCTGCTCCCTCGTGCCCCTCTGCTCCCTCGTGCCCCTCTGCTCCCTCGTGCCCCTCTGCTCCCTCGTGCCCCTCTGCTCCCTCGTGCCCCTCTGCTCCCTCGTGCCCCTCTGCTCCCTCGTGCCCCTCTGCTCCCTCGTGCCCCTCTGCTCCCTCGTGCCCCTCTGCTCCCTCGTGCCCCTCTGCTCCCTCGTGCCCCTCTGCTCCCTCGTGCCCCTCTGCTCCCTCGTGCCCCTCTGCTCCCTCGTGCCCCTCTGCTCCCTCGTGCCCCTCTGCTCCCTCGTGCCCCTCTGCTCCCTCGTGCCCCTCTGCTCCCTCGTGCCCCTCTGCTCCCTCGTGCCCCTCTGCTCCCTCGTGCCCCTCTGCTCCCTCGTGCCCCTCTGCTCCCTCGTGCCCCTCTGCTCCCTCGTGCCCCTCTGCTCCCTCGTGCCCCTCTGCTCCCTCGTGCCCCTCTGCTCCCTCGTGCCCCTCTGCTCCCTCGTGCCCCTCTGCTCCCTCGTGCCCCTCTGCTCCCTCGTGCCCCTCTGCTCCCTCGTGCCCCTCTGCTCCCTCGTGCCCCTCTGCTCCCTCGTGCCCCTCTGCTCCCTCGTGCCCCTCTGCTCCCTCGTGCCCCTCTGCTCCCTCGTGCCCCTCTGCTCCCTCGTGCCCCTCTGCTCCCTCGTGCCCCTCTGCTCCCTCGTGCCCCTCTGCTCCCTCGTGCCCCTCTGCTCCCTCGTGCCCCTCTGCTCCCTCGTGCCCCTCTGCTCCCTCGTGCCCCTCTGCTCCCTCGTGCCCCTCTGCTCCCTCGTGCCCCTCTGCTCCCTCGTGCCCCTCTGCTCCCTCGTGCCCCTCTGCTCCCTCGTGCCCCTCTGCTCCCTCGTGCCCCTCTGCTCCCTCGTGCCCCTCTGCTCCCTCGTGCCCCTCTGCTCCCTCGTGCCCCTCTGCTCCCTCGTGCCCCTCTGCTCCCTCGTGCCCCTCTGCTCCCTCGTGCCCCTCTGCTCCCTCGTGCCCCTCTGCTCCCTCGTGCCCCTCTGCTCCCTCGTGCCCCTCTGCTCCCTCGTGCCCCTCTGCTCCCTCGTGCCCCTCTGCTCCCTCGTGCCCCTCTGCTCCCTCGTGCCCCTCTGCTCCCTCGTGCCCCTCTGCTCCCTCGTGCCCCTCTGCTCCCTCGTGCCCCTCTGCTCCCTCGTGCCCCTCTGCTCCCTCGTGCCCCTCTGCTCCCTCGTGCCCCTCTGCTCCCTCGTGCCCCTCTGCTCCCTCGTGCCCCTCTGCTCCCTCGTGCCCCTCTGCTCCCTCGTGCCCCTCTGCTCCCTCGTGCCCCTCTGCTCCCTCGTGCCCCTCTGCTCCCTCGTGCCCCTCTGCTCCCTCGTGCCCCTCTGCTCCCTCGTGCCCCTCTGCTCCCTCGTGCCCCTCTGCTCCCTCGTGCCCCTCTGCTCCCTCGTGCCCCTCTGCTCCCTCGTGCCCCTCTGCTCCCTCGTGCCCCTCTGCTCCCTCGTGCCCCTCTGCTCCCTCGTGCCCCTCTGCTCCCTCGTGCCCCTCTGCTCCCTCGTGCCCCTCTGCTCCCTCGTGCCCCTCTGCTCCCTCGTGCCCCTCTGCTCCCTCGTGCCCCTCTGCTCCCTCGTGCCCCTCTGCTCCCTCGTGCCCCTCTGCTCCCTCGTGCCCCTCTGCTCCCTCGTGCCCCTCTGCTCCCTCGTGCCCCTCTGCTCCCTCGTGCCCCTCTGCTCCCTCGTGCCCCTCTGCTCCCTCGTGCCCCTCTGCTCCCTCGTGCCCCTCTGCTCCCTCGTGCCCCTCTGCTCCCTCGTGCCCCTCTGCTCCCTCGTGCCCCTCTGCTCCCTCGTGCCCCTCTGCTCCCTCGTGCCCCTCTGCTCCCTCGTGCCCCTCTGCTCCCTCGTGCCCCTCTGCTCCCTCGTGCCCCTCTGCTCCCTCGTGCCCCTCTGCTCCCTCGTGCCCCTCTGCTCCCTCGTGCCCCTCTGCTCCCTCGTGCCCCTCTGCTCCCTCGTGCCCCTCTGCTCCCTCGTGCCCCTCTGCTCCCTCGTGCCCCTCTGCTCCCTCGTGCCCCTCTGCTCCCTCGTGCCCCTCTGCTCCCTCGTGCCCCTCTGCTCCCTCGTGCCCCTCTGCTCCCTCGTGCCCCTCTGCTCCCTCGTGCCCCTCTGCTCCCTCGTGCCCCTCTGCTCCCTCGTGCCCCTCTGCTCCCTCGTGCCCCTCTGCTCCCTCGTGCCCCTCTGCTCCCTCGTGCCCCTCTGCTCCCTCGTGCCCCTCTGCTCCCTCGTGCCCCTCTGCTCCCTCGTGCCCCTCTGCTCCCTCGTGCCCCTCTGCTCCCTCGTGCCCCTCTGCTCCCTCGTGCCCCTCTGCTCCCTCGTGCCCCTCTGCTCCCTCGTGCCCCTCTGCTCCCTCGTGCCCCTCTGCTCCCTCGTGCCCCTCTGCTCCCTCGTGCCCCTCTGCTCCCTCGTGCCCCTCTGCTCCCTCGTGCCCCTCTGCTCCCTCGTGCCCCTCTGCTCCCTCGTGCCCCTCTGCTCCCTCGTGCCCCTCTGCTCCCTCGTGCCCCTCTGCTCCCTCGTGCCCCTCTGCTCCCTCGTGCCCCTCTGCTCCCTCGTGCCCCTCTGCTCCCTCGTGCCCCTCTGCTCCCTCGTGCCCCTCTGCTCCCTCGTGCCCCTCTGCTCCCTCGTGCCCCTCTGCTCCCTCGTGCCCCTCTGCTCCCTCGTGCCCCTCTGCTCCCTCGTGCCCCTCTGCTCCCTCGTGCCCCTCTGCTCCCTCGTGCCCCTCTGCTCCCTCGTGCCCCTCTGCTCCCTCGTGCCCCTCTGCTCCCTCGTGCCCCTCTGCTCCCTCGTGCCCCTCTGCTCCCTCGTGCCCCTCTGCTCCCTCGTGCCCCTCTGCTCCCTCGTGCCCCTCTGCTCCCTCGTGCCCCTCTGCTCCCTCGTGCCCCTCTGCTCCCTCGTGCCCCTCTGCTCCCTCGTGCCCCTCTGCTCCCTCGTGCCCCTCTGCTCCCTCGTGCCCCTCTGCTCCCTCGTGCCCCTCTGCTCCCTCGTGCCCCCTCTGCTCCCTCGTGCCCCTCTGCTCCCTCGTGCCCCTCTGCTCCCTCGTGCCCCTCTGCTCCCTCGTGCCCCTCTGCTCCCTCGTGCCCCTCTGCTCCCTCGTGCCCCCTCCTCTGCTCCCTCGTGCCCCTCTGCTCCTCGTGCCCCTCTGCTCCCTCGTGCCCCTCTGCTCCTCGTGCCCCTCTGCTCCCTCGTGCCCCTCTGCCCCTCGTGCCCCTCTGCTCCCTCGTGCCCCTCTGCTCCCTCGTGCCCCTCTGCTCCCTCGTGCCCCTCTGCTCCCTCGTGCCCCTCTGCTCCCTCGTGCCCCTCTGCTCCCTCGTGCCCCTCTGCTCCCTCGTGCCCCTCTGCTCCCTCGTGCCCCTCTGCTCCCCTCGTGCCCTCTGCTCCCTCGTGCCCCTCTGCTCCCTCGTGCCCCTCTGCTCCCTCGTGCCCCTCTGCTCCCTCGTGCCCCTCTGCTCCCTCGTGCCCCTCTGCTCCCTCGTGCCCCTCTGCTCCCTCGTGCCCCTCTGCTCCCTCGTGCCCCTCTGCTCCTCGTGCCCCTCTGCTCCCTCGTGCCCCTCTGCTCCCTCGTGCCCCTCTGCTCCCTCGTGCCCCTCTGCTCCCTCGTGCCCCTCTGCTCCCTCGTGCCCCTCTGCTCCCTCGTGCCCCTCTGCTCCCTCGTGCCCCTCTGCTCCCTCGTGCCCCTCTGCTCCCTCGTGCCCCTCTGCTCCCTCGTGCCCCTCTGCTCCCTCGTGCCCCTCTGCTCCCTCGTGCCCCTCTGCTCCCTCGTGCCCTCTGCTCCCTCGTGCCCCTCTGCTCCCTCGTGCCCCCCTCTGCTCCCTCGTGCCCCTCTGCTCCCTCGTGCCCCTCTGCTCCCTCGTGCCCCTCTGCTCCCTCGTGCCCCTCTGCTCCCTCGTGCCCCTCTGCTCCCTCGTGCCCCTCTGCTCCCTCGTGCCCCTCTGCTCCCTCGTGCCCCTCTGCTCCCTCGTGCCCCTCTGCTCCTCGTGCCCCTCTGCTCCCTCGTGCCCCTCTGCTCCCTCGTGCCCCTCTGCTCCCTCGTGCCCCTCTGCTCCCTCGTGCCCCTCTGCTCCCTCGTGCCCCTCTCCCCCTCGTGCCCCTCTGCTCCCTCGTGCCCCTCTGCTCCCTCGTGCCCCTCTGCTCCCTCGTGCCCCTCTGCTCCCTCGTGCCCCTCTGCTCCCTCGTGCCCCTCTGCTCCCTCGTGCCCCTCTGCTCCCTCGTGCCCCCTCTGCTCCCTCGCCCCCCTCTGCTCCCTCGTGCCCCTCTGCTCCCTCGTGCCCCTCTGCTCCCTCGTGCCCCTCTGCTCCCTCGTGCCCCTCTGCTCCCTCGTGCCCCTCTGCTCCCTCGTGCCCCTCTGCTCCCTCGTGCCCCTCTGCTCCCTCGTGCCCCTCTGCTCCCTCGTGCCCCTCTGCTCCCTCGTGCCCCTCTGCTCCCTCGTGCCCCTCTGCTCCCTCGTGCCCCTCTGCTCCCTCGTGCCCCTCTGCTCCCTCGTGCCCCTCTGCTCCCTCGTGCCCCTCTGCCTCCCTCGTCCTCGTGCCCCTCTGCTCCCTCGTGCCCCTCTGCTCCCTCGTGCCCCTCTGCTCCCTCGTGCCCTCTGCTCCCTCGTGCCCCTCTGCTCCCTCGTGCCCCTCTGCTCCTCGTGCCCCCCTCTGCTCCCTCGTGCCCCTCTGCTCCCTCGTGCCCCTCTGCTCCCTCGTGCCCCTTGCTCCCTCGTGCCCCTCTGCTCCCTCGTGCCCCTCTGCTCCCTCGTGCCCCTCTGCTCCCTCGTGCCCCTCTGCTCCCTCGTGCCCCTCTGCTCCCTCGTGCCCCTCTGCTTCCCTCGTGCCCCTCTGCTCCCTCGTGCCCCTCTGCTCCCTCGTGCCCCTCTGCTCCCTCGTGCCCCTCTGCTCCCTCGTGCCCCTCTGCTCCCTCGTGCCCCTCTGCTCCCTCGTGCCCTCTGCTCCCTCGTGCCCCTCTGCTCCCTCGTGCCCCTCTGCTCCCTCGTGCCCCTCTGCTCCCTCGTGCCCCTCTGCTCCCTCGTGCCCCCTTGCTCCCTCGTGCCCCTCTGCTCCCTCGTCTGCTCGTGCCCCTCTGCTCCCTCGTGCCCCTCTGCTCCCTCGTGCCCCTCTGCTCCCTCGTGCCCCTCTGCTCCCTCGTGCCCCTCTGCTCCCTCGTGCCCCTCTGCTCCCTCGTGCCCCTCTGCTCCCTCGTGCCCCTCTGCTCCCTCGTGCCCCTCTGCTCCCTCGTGCCCCTCTGCTCCCTCGCTGTCCCTCGTGCCCCTCTGCTCCCTCGTGCCCCTCTGCTCCCTCGTGCCCCTCTGCTCCCTCGTGCCCTCTGCTCCCTCGTGCCCCTCTGCTCCCTCGTGCCCCTCTGCTCCCTCGTGCCCCTCTGCTCCCTCGTGCCCCTCTGCTCCCTCGTGCCCTCTGCTCCCTCGCCCCCTCTGCTCCCTCGTGCCCCTCTGCTCCCTCGTGCCCCTCTGCTCCCTCGTGCCCCTCTGCTCCCTCGTGCCCCTCTGCTCCCTCGTGCCCCTCTGCTCCCTCGTGCCCCTCTGCTCCCTCGTGCCCCTCTGCTCCCTCGTGCCCCTCTGCTCCCTCGTGCCCCCTCTGCTCCCTCGTGCCCCTCTGCTCCTCGTGCCCCTCTGCTCCCTCGTGCCCCTCTGCTCCCTCGTGCCCCTCTGCCCCCTCGTGCCCCTCTGCTCCCTCGTGCCCTCTGCTCCCTCGTGCCCCTCTGCTCCCTCGTGCCCTCTGCTCCCTCGTGCCCCTCTGCTCCCTCGTGCCCCTCTGCTCCCTCGTGCCCCTCTGCTCCCTCGTGCCCCTCTGCTCCCTCGTGCCCCTCTGCTTCCCTCGTGCCCCTGCTCCCTCGTGCCCCTCTGCTCCCTCGTGCCCCTCTGCTCCCTCGTGCCCCTCTGCTCCCTCGTGCCCCTCTGCTCCCTCGTGCCCTCTGCTCCCTCGTGCCCTCTGCTCCCTCGTGCCCCTCTGCTCCCTCGTCTGCCCCTCTGCCCTCCTCGTGTGCCCCTCTGCTCCCCTTTGCCCCTCTGCTCCCTCGTGCCCCTCTGCTCCCTCGTGCCCCTCTGCTCCCTCGTGCCCTCTGCTCCCTGTCGTGCCCCTCTGCTCCCTCTGTGCCCTTGCTCCCTCGTGCCCCTCTGCTCCCTCGTGCCCCTCTGCCCTCCTCGTGCCCCTCTGCTCCTCGTGCCCCTCTGCTCCCTCGTGCCCCTCTGCTCCCTCGTGCCCCTCTGCTCCCTCGTGCCCCCCTCTGCTCCCTCGTGCCCTCTGCTCCCTCGTTCTGCCCCTCTGCTCCCTCGTGCCCTCTGCTCCCTCGTGCCCCTCTGCCCCCTCGTGCCCCTCTGCTCCCTCGTGCCCCTCTGCTCCCTCGTGCCCCTCTGCTCCCTCGTGCCCCTCTGCTCCTCGTGCCCCTCTGCTCCCTCGGGCCCCTCTGCCTCCCTCGTGCCCCTCTGCTCCCTCGTGCCCCTCTGCTCCCTCGTGCCCCTCTGCCTCCCTCGTGCCCTCTGCTCCCTCGTGCCCCTCTGCTCCCTCGTGCCCCTCTGCTCCCTCGTGCCCCCTCTGCTCCCTCGTGCCCTCTGCTCCCTCGTGCCCCTCTGCTCCCTCGTGCCCCTCTGCTCCCTCGTGCCCCTCTGCTCCCTCGTGCCCCTCTGCTCCCTCGTGCCCCTCTGCTCCCTCGTGCCCCTCTGCTCCCTCGTGCCCCTCTGCTCCCTCGTGCCCCTCTGCTCCCTCGTGCCCCTCTGCTCCCTCGTGCCCCTCTGCTCCCTCGTGCCCCTCTGCTCCCTCGTGCCCCTCTGCTCCCTCGTGCCCCTCTGCTCCCTCGTGCCCCTCTGCTCCCTCGTGCCCCTCTGCTCCCCTCGTGCCCCTCTGCTCCCTCGTGCCCCTCTGCTCCCTCGTGCCCCTCTGCTCCCTCGTGCCCCTCTGCTCCCTCGTGCCCCTCTGCTCCCTCGTGCCCCTCTGCTCCCTCGTGCCCCTCTGCTCCCTCGTGCCCCTCTGCTCCCTCGTGCCCCTCTGCTCCCTCGTGCCCCTCTGCTCCCTCGTGCCCCTCTGCTCCCTCGTGCCCCTCTGCTCCCTCGTGCCCCTCTGCTCCCTCGTGCCCCTCTGCTCCCTCGTGCCCCTCTGCTCCCTCGTGCCCCTCTGCTCCCTCGTGCCCCTCTGCTCCTCGTGCCCCTCTGCTCCCTCGTGCCCCTCTGCTCCCTCGTGCCCCTCTGCTCCCTCGTGCCCCTCTGCTCCCTCGTGCCCCTCTGCTCCCTCGTGCCCCTCTGCTCCCTCGTGCCCCTCTGCTCCCTCGTGCCCCTCTGCTCCCTCGTGCCCCTCTGCTCCCTCGTGCCCCTCTGCTCCCTCGTGCCCCTCTGCTCCCTCGTGCCCCTCTGCTCCCTCGTGCCCCTCTGCTCCCTCGTGCCCCTCTGCTCCCTCGTGCCCCTCTGCTCCCTCGTGCCCCTCTGCTCCCTCGTGCCCCCTCTGCTCCCTCGTGCCCCTCTGCTCCCTCGTGCCCCTCTTGCTCCCTCGTGCCCCTCTGCTCCCTCGTGCCCCTCTGCTCCCTCGTGCCCCTCTGCTCCCTCGTGCCCCCCTCTGCTCCCTCGTGCCCCTGCCCCTCTGCTCCCTCGTGCCCCTCTGCTCCCTCGTGCCCCTCTCTCCTCCCTCGTGCCCCTCTGCTCCCTCGTGCCCCTCTGCTCCCTCGTGCCCCTCTGCTCCCTCGTGCCCCTCTGCTCCCTCGTGCCCCTCTGCTCCCCTCGTGCCCCTCTGCTCCCTCGTGCCCCTCTGCTCCCTCGTGCCCTCTGCTCCCTCGTGCCCCTCTGCTCCCTCGTGCCCCCCTCTGTGCCCCTCTGTGCCCTCGCTGCTCCCTCGTGCCCCTCTGCTCCCTCGTGCCCCCTCTTGCCCCTCGTGCCCCTCTGCTCCCTCGTGCCCCTCTGCTCCCTCGTGCCCCTCTGCTCCCTCGTGCCCTCTGCTCCCTCGTGCCCCTCTGCTCCCTCGTGCCCCTCTGCTCCCCTCGTGCCCCTCTGCTCCCTCGTGCCCCTCTGCTCCCTCGTGCCCCTCTGCTCCCTCGTGCCCCTCTGCTCCCTCGTGCCCCTCTGCTCCCTCGTGCCCTCTGCTCCCTCGTGCCCCTCTGCTCCCTCGTGCCCCTCTGCTCCCTCGTGCCCCCTGCTCCCTCGTGCCCCTCTGCTCCCTCGTGCCCCTCTGCTCCCTCGTGCCCCTCTGCTCCCTCGTGCCCCTCTGCTCCCTCGTGCCCCTCTGCTCCCTCGTGCCCCTCTGCTCCCTCGTGCCCCTCTGCTCCCTCGTGCCCCTCTGCTCCCTCGTGCCCCTCTGCTCCCTCGTGCCCCTCTGCTCCCTCGTGCCCCTCTGCTCCCTCGTGCCCCTCTGCTCCCTCGTGCCCCTCTGCTCCCTCGTGCCCCTCTGCTCCCTCGTGCCCCTCTGCTCCCTCGTGCCCCTCTGCTCCCTCGTGCCCCTCTGCTCCCTCGTGCCCCTCTGCTCCCTCGTTCCCCTCTGCTCCCCCCCTCTGCTCCCTCGTGCCCCTCTGCTCCCTCGTGCCCCTCTGCTCCCTCGTGCCCCTCTGCCCCATCTCACTTCTCTCCCCCCTCAGGCGCAGACCCGTACTTCAACAAAGCTTATCCGCATCCTCACCACTCGCCCGCAGGGACCTCTGTGGAGTCGATTCTAAAATTTTCCCACTTGAATCATACCTATTTCCCCCTCTTGACCCGTTGTGTTTGCCTCTGTGTCACTAGCAGGGCCCAGACCCGTACTTCAACAAGCTTATCCGCATCCTCACCACTCGCTGCATGACCCAGGTGCGAGCCCGCGGGATACGCTCCCTCGTGCCCCTCTGCTCCCCTCGTGCCCCTCTGCTCCCTCGTGCCCCTCTGCTCCCTCGTGCCCCTCTGCTCCCTCGTGCCCCTCTGCTCCCCGTGGCCCCTCTGCTCCCTCGTGCCCCTCTGCTCCCTCGTGCCCCTCTGCTCCCTCGTGCCCCCTCTGCTCCCTCGTGCCCCTCTGCTCCCTCGTGCCCCTCTGCTCCCTCGTGCCCCTCTGCTCCCTCGTGCCCCTCTGCTCCCTCGTGCCCCTCTGCTCCCTCGTGCCCCTCTGCTCCCTCGTGCCCCTCTGCTCCCTCGTGCCCCTCTGCTTCCCTCCTCGTGCCCCTCTGCTCCCTCGTGCCCCTCTGCTCCCTCGTGCCCCTCTGCTCCCTCGTGCCCCTCTGCTCCCTCGTGCCCCTCTGCTTCCCCCCCCCTCGTGCCCCTCTGCTCCCTCGTGCCCCTCTGCTCCCTCGTGCCCCTCTCTGCTCCCTCGTGCCCCTCTGCTCCCTCGTGCCCCTCTGCTCCCTCGTGCCCCTCTGCTCCCTCGTGCCCCTCTGCTCCCTCGTGCCCCTCTGCTCCTCGTGCCCCTCTGCTCCCTCGTGCCCCTCTGCTCCCTCGTGCCCCTCTGCTCCCTCGTGCCCCTCTGCTCCCTCGTGCCCCTCTGCTCCCTCGTGCCCCTCTGCTCCCTCGTGCCCCTCTGCTCCCTCGTGCCCCTCTGCTCCCTCGTGCCCCTCTGCTCCCTCGTGCCCCTCTGCTCCCTCGTGCCCCTCTGCTCCCTCGTGCCCCTCTGCTCCCTCGTGCCCCTCTGCTCCCTCGTGCCCCTCTGCTCCCTCGTGCCCTCTGCTCCCTCGTGCCCCTCTGCTCCCTCGTGCCCCTCTGCTCCCTCGTGCCCTCTGCTCCCTCGGCCCCCTCTGCTCCCTCGTGCCCCTCTGCTCCCTCGTGCCCCTCTGCTCCCTCGTGCCCCTCTGCTCCCTCGTGCCCCTCTGCTCCCTCGTGCCCTCTGCCCCTTCCTCCTCGTGCCCCTCTGCTCCCTCGTGCCCCTCTGCTCCCTCGTGCCCCTCTGCTCCCTCGTGCCCCTCTGCTCCCTCGTGCCCCTCTGCTCCCTCGTGCCCCTCTGCTCCCTGCCCTCTGCTCCCTCCCCCCCTCGTGCCCCTCTGCTCCCTCGTGCCCCTCTGCTCCCTCGTGCCCCCTCTGCTCCCTCGTGCCCCTCTGCTCCCTCGTGCCCCTCTGCTCCCTCGTGCCCTGCCTCCTGCTGCCCCTCTTGCTCCCTCTGCTCCCTCGTGCCCCTCTGCTCCCTCGTGCCCCTCTGCTCCCTCGTGCCCCTCTGCTCCCTCGTGCCCCTCTGCTCCCTCGTGCCCTCTGCTCCCTCGTGCCCCTCTGCTCCCTCGTGCCCCTCTGCTCCCTCGTGCCCCTCTGCCCCATCGCCCATGCAGACCTGGTGGTGCATCGCCTGCTAGCCGCAGCCATCGGGTTGACTCCACTGTCTTTTAAGTCCCCTTGGTCCCCCCTCCCCTCCTCTTCCCCCGACTGTGACTCTACCCACTGTGAAGCAACCCATCGCCTGCTGGCCCCCATCCGTTGACACCGTGTGCATTTTAAGCCTGCTGGCCCAGCCCCCCGCTCTTTTAAGTGGCTTAGCCCCCTCCCCTCCTCTCCCCCCCGACTGTGGCTTTTGAGGTGCCTCAAAATCTCCCAATCCTCGGTCACCCCTCTTCCCTAACTGTAACTGTGCCCACCTCCCACACAGATGTGGTGGTGCATCGCTTGCTGGCCGCTGCCATCGGTTGACACCATTGCCCGATCAGACCAAGGATAAGACTGCTCTCACTGCCCTCACTGACAGTAAGCACCGACACAGAGGCAGATTCTTTTTTCTTTTCAAGTCTGTCCACACTCTCTTTTCTGTCCCATCACGACGTTAGTGTTGTTTTCTCTGGATAAATTTTCTTTTCCAGTCAATACAATACTAGGCAGCAAATAGAAACAGCAGGCAGAAAATTGCACAGAATGTGTTCATGCGTCGGATCAACATGCCATAGCTGTGTGAAAAAACATGTTGAGAAGCCTACCCTCTCCTCTCCCTCTTGTTGCTTCTACCCCTCCTCCTCACCTCTCTCCCTACACACTTCCTTATCTTCTGCTGGGCTCCCTCTCTCCCCCCTACTTCTTGTTCCTCCTAACCCTCCTCCCCACTGTATCAGACCTCAACTATCGCAACCGCAATGCTCAGATGGCGGGGCGAGCATCAGTGGAGCTTCACACTCTCATCTTCTTCCGCACTCGGTGAGCAGTCAGCGTGCTGTCAGCGTGTCGTCAGAGTGCCCCTCTTACTGCTCACTGCCATTACTCCCTCTCCTGCACACCCACTTCTTCTTCCTGCACTCTTCTTCCTATGCTTCCCTTCCCATGCACAGCATGTTTCTTGTCTTGCACATGTCGTCTGTCTTTTTCGCCCTCACTCTCTCACATACTCACCCCGCTTCCTTCAAACATCTCTCCTCTCATCATTTCCTCGCCAGCCCAACGGATGCGGAGGGGCGGATAGTGATGGTTCGCTCCAATGGGCTCATTGTCTTCGTGCCCAAGTAAGCAGCGTTCTTTCTTACTTGCTTGCTTGCTTTCCATTTTTAGTTTATGCATCTTGTGAACAAAAAGCCTCGTTTCCGAGTTGTTTTGTGTTTGCACAACTCACACCTATTGAACAACCTGTGTGATGTGCTTTCTTTTCTTTGGCCAATCTTAGATATGGCATAGAAGGCCCTGTCTACCTCGTACCCAAGGAACCTCCCAAGGGGAAAGCTGCTGCTGTTGCCGAGGCCAACAAGCTCGGTGGGAATGCGCCGTCAAGTGACTGGGTGGTGGATGAGAAGTCGCAGACAGTGGAGTCGAAAGACGGGAAACGGCGATTCAAGGTGTTGGACACGGTGACTGTGCACATTGAGGTTATTGAGCCACAACCCAATCGGCCCAAGCTGTCACTAACGCTAGTGAGCCAATGAAGTGAATGGTCAATAAACAACCTGTAGCCAGTAAAGAATCAGAATATTGGACAGTGGCTGTGCACATTGAGGTCATCAATCAACAGCCCAATCAACCTAGTGAGCCAATGATGTGAATGCTCAATGACCAAACTAGAGATACAAATAATGTGGGGAAATTATGCCAATAGTAACCAGCATAGGACTCGATGACGTGAAAGCTAAAAAATCAATGTGTACGGTCACTTTATCGGGTTTTCATACGGATTTGGAAAGTAGGGTCACGGATGCAGTCACTAACAGCAGGTAAAATATCACGCGAATGGTCACACATGTAACTCTTGCCAAAACAACCTGAAAAGACACAAAATTCCCGCTCGCGCCCAACCAATCTGCTTACTTCTAACAAAACTAAAACCAATCACTATCGGATGTGGTTTGTGAACGGATCAACCCCAAACACCTGGTGGCGTGTTGCGTGTTAATAGTTGATTCGTCCGAAAATGAATCCAGGTTCCATTTGGGTTTATGTTTTTGGCGGGAGTTTCATCTGGGACCATTTGTGTGATTTCTTACCATTTCGGAAATAACTGATTCCGAAAAACGCTTTATCTGTCGCGTGAAAACATCCTTCTCAGTGACCGTGCCCCCTATTTTTTTACCAAAAATGTTTTCTAATGTGCATATTTTCTAATGTGCATCCCTCCCAGCTTTGCTGGCGGCCTCCCTGGTCCTTGCCAGTTGACTTCCGCGACTTCCGACTTCGTTCTTTCTTTGGCATGGATTTCGTTGGACTGGTGGCCTGAGCGAAAGGGGAGTGCTGGTAACCACAACCTCCCATGCACTGGGTCTGTCCCGTCTCGTGCACGCGCAGACTGACCCGCGCCGCATTCCCAGCCACACACAGGTCCGAAATTCCTCTCAGGACCAAGCTTCAAGTGCTCGTCACGGGTATGCACGGTCTGCCCGAGGACGGAATAATTGCGGAAGTGCGAGTGATGCGACGCATGTGCGAAATATTCATCGAACCCAGAGCCTCCAGAAATTAACACAGTGCTTTGACGACGTGTTTCGCGAAACCTGGTGAACCACATGGATCAACCAAAGCCGCAGGCAAGCCCGAGAAATCCCTCACCTGCCCGATCTTCGGACCTTCTGCAAATGCTCAGCATCTGCGCAGGTGCATCGCGGCGCGACGAGCCCCCCCCCATCCACCCAAATGTGACACTCCACATGTGAGCTGGCGAGTACAAATGCTTGCATAACCCCACTCGAACCAGCATCACAATTCAAGCCTTCCAGTAGCGTTCACAGCTATTCAACATCTGTTCCTTTTATTCGTTCTGCAGGTAGTAGGCCAACAAACGTCTGCACGCAACCGTGACAGGCACCGTTAGAACAAACACCTGCCCTCCAATAGCTAATTATCGTCATGAGGGACGGTCCCGCGATCACGATGCTGCTGCTGCTGGCCTCATTCCTCCTGGCGGCACAGCCATCCAGTGCAAGCCGCGAATCAGTTTGGCGCAACCTGAACCGCGCATGGCGCAACGGCGGAGAGAATTCGCACCTCGCGGCTCCCTCCAGGGAAAACTCTGGAGAACTGGCGACGCCAGCAGCAGACGGCTCCGCGGTCTACATCGTTCGCCTGAGCACGGCGCCTCCCCTCTCCGAATATCGCGGCGGAATCGCGGGCTACCCCGCGACGGCCACGTGGGACGACGGCAGCGACGAGGAGGACAGTGATTCCGTGCCGCAGATGATTCTCTCCGCCGGCGACTCCGCCGCCGACGTCGCAGGCGACGAATCCGTCGATCTGGACGACACCAACGGCGACAACCTCCTCCCAAACGCAACAATGCCCGCGCCGCCCGCAAACGGCACATCTGACACCGCCGCAACTCCCAACGCTCGCGGCGGTCGCGGCAGTCGCGGCGGTCGCGGCGGTAACGGTAACGGCGGACGAAACGGCGGCGGCGGGTGCCCGCGGCACCGGCTGAGTCTGAGCATGGACCGCCCCCAGGTGGCGGCGTTCGCGGGGCTGCTGCAGCGGCAGCAGGCGCAGGTGGCATCTGAGGCGGGCGTACCCGAGGACGGGCTGCTCTACAGCTACAAGCACACATCCAACGGCTTCGCCGCGCGCCTCACGCCATACCAGGCGTGGCGGCTGCGGCGCCACCCTGCCGTGGCGTCCGTCCGCGCCAGCCGCGTGTTCCGCCGGCAAACGAGCGACTCGCCGCAGTTTCTGGGGCTGCCCGGGAAGGTGTGGCCGGCAGTGGGTGGGCAGAGCAAGGCGGGCGACGGCACGGTGGTGGGGATCGTGGACTCGGGTATCTGGCCCGAACACCCGTCCTTCAGCGATAAGGGCTTCTCCTCGCAGCTGCCCGCGGGGTGGAAGGGCAAGTGCGAGCAGTCGAGCTCGTTCCGGTGCAACAACAAGGTGATCGGCGCCAAGGCCTTCTATGCTGGCTTCCAGCAGAGCAGCGGAAAGCCCGTGCTGACCAACGACTGGCTCACGCCGCGAGATGCGGACGGCCATGGCACGTGGTGCGCGGGGGCAGCCGCGGGAAACCCCGTGAAGGTGAAGGGCGGCGGGCAGGTGAGCGGCATGGCGCCGGCAGCGCGCATTGCGGCGTACAAGATCTTCTGGACGGACCGCAACGGGGACATGTACGCCACGGAATCAGACATCATCGCAGCCGTGAATCAGGGCGTGGCGGACGGTGTGGATGTGCTGTCGCTGTCTCTGGGCGGCATGGATCCCAACGACAACTATTTCAACGATCTCGCTTTCATGCGCGCCAATGCTGCAGGGGTGTTTGTCGCCTTTGCTGCCGGCAACGCTGGGCCTCCCGGGCGTGGAGGGTTCTACCGCACGCTTGACAACTTCGCGCCTTTCTACCTCACCGTTGGTGCCAGCACCATTGCCCGAGGCGGCGCCTCCCTCGCGTCCTCAACTGCCGGCGCGCAGTCGCTCGCTCTCAGCGGCACCGCCTCTGCCAGCAGCAACAGCAACAGCAACATCAACTGCAACGGCACTGACGACAGCACAGGGGGCAACTTCAATGGCAACAGCACCGATGGCACTGATGGCACGGACGGCAGCAGCACGGTTCTGACTGCAGACGGGGGGATCACCTTCACCTCCTCCTCCTCCTCCGCCCCGGTGGTGGCTGACTTCTCTTCCCGCGGCCCCCTGCTGCAGCCCTCCGCCACAACCCAGCCGCCCAAGCCAGGCAACGCCGTTCTGAAGCCCGACATCATCGGCCCGGGAGTGGACCTCGTAGCCGCTGTTCCCGGGAAGAAGCCCGGCGACACCGGTGGTCTCGCGCGCATGTCGGGCACTTCCATGGCCACCCCGCATTTAGCGGGGCTAGCCGCTTTAATCATCCAGAAGTACCCCAGCTGGACCCCGGCGCAGGTGATGTCAGCACTGATGACGACGGCGCGGGTGACGGACACGAGCAAGAGCCCAATCAAGAGTTCGACGGGTGGGGAGGCCACCCCGTGGGAGATGGGCGCAGGCCACGTGTTCCCCCCGGCCATGCTCGACCCCGGCCTCACCTATGACGCCCGCGACCGCGACTACCAGAATTTCCTCGCAGGGCAGGACCTGAACCGCGCGAAAAAGGAGTTCCCAGGGGTGGCGCTCTCGCCTCTGGCTGTTCGGAATCTCAACCTGCCCACCATCACTCTGCCTCGCCTGCAGGGCTCCCTGCAGGTCACCCGCACCGTCACCAACGTGGGGCAGTCTCAGTCCACTTACAGTGTATCTGGGAAGTCCCCGCAGGGCGTGAAGGTGACTGTGGGGCCTAGGAGCCTCACGCTGGCTCCCGGGGAGAAGAAAAGCTACACGGTGACGATTACGGTGGATACCCCCAGTAATGACTTCAAGTATGGGTATCTAGTCTGGGCTGACAACCAGGGCCACAGCGTGCGCTCCCCCCTTGTGGTGCAGCCCATCTCCCGCTGAGGGGGAGAGCTGTGAGAGGCTCGCTCATCCTGAGGAGGAGGGCTGAGTGCTACTCCGATTTTTAAGGGATATGGTTGGCTGATTAGGTGCCAGTTGTTGTGGCACATGGGATGGGATGGCAGGGCACGTCGCATGGAAAACTGAGACACAAGGGCTTGTGATGTGTGCATGAGTGACTGTGTATGAGCTGGTTGGTTAGAGTTTGGCCCTGTCTGCATGCTGTATTTAATTGAGATATACACTTTGAATCCAGCCTTACTCAAACAGACAAACAGAAACATGCACACAATGAACATCACACATATACTACCACACAGCAAACCCACAATGCATCATTGCTTTGAGAGAGCAGAAACACCAGTTCAATTGCAGGTTATCAGCAGTTGTACTTTAAGATCGCTTTCCCGAAAGTATGTTCTTAAGTTAGAAGCATTTGTAGGGCTCAGTTGCTACAGCAGCTCAAACTGCGTGTACCACCTGATGGCAGCTTCTCAACAGAAGCGAGTGCTGTTTGTAAGTGGCAGAAAGTGTGCTGGTGGATTCAGCTCGTGGTGCTTGTCATGTCACACACGTGGTGCCCGCCCACTCTCAATCCCTATCCCTCCACTCCATACAGCAAGGAGGACTCGTCCGTCCCTATGTCCGACAGCTGGGGGGGTGACGGGTGGCGGGAGTTGGGAAACAAGGTGTTGGGGAAGGAGAGATGGGACCGCATGCTTGTCAAGCACGTGGTGCTTCTGATGTGCATCCACTGCCGAGCCCTCCGGTCAACAAGCAAGGAGGACTCGTCCATCCCTATGTCCAACAGCTGGAAGTGTGATGGGCGGGGAGTTGGGGAAGAGGGGAGAGAAGCAATCCGCAAGCTTGCAGGTAAGCACATGAGCCCACGGCATCGCTGCTTTCTTTCTGGGGAGGGGAGGTGGGGTTGCTGTGAGCCAGGGAACGGGGGTGAGGGTAAGTGGGTGAGGGTAAGTGGGTGAGGGTAAGTGGGTGAGGGTAAGTGGGTGAGGGTAAGTGGGTGAGGGTAAGTGGGTAAGTGGGTGAGGGTAAGTGGGTGAGGGTAAGTGGGTAAGTGGGTGAGGGTAAGTGGGTAAGTGGGTGAGGATAAGTGGGTAAGTGGGTGAGGGTAAGTGGGTAAGTGGGTGAGGGTAAGTGGGTAAGTGGGTGAGGGTAAGTGGGTAAGTGGGTGAGGGTAAAGTGGGTAAGTGGGTGAGGGTAAGTGGGTAAGTGGGTGAGGGTAAGTGGGTAAGTGGGTGAGGGTAAGTGGGTAAGTGGATGAGGGTAAGTGGGTAAGTGGATGAGGGTAAGTGGGTAAGTGGATGAGGGTAAGTGGGTAAGTGGATGAGGGTAAGTGGGTAAGTGGATGAGGGTAAGTGGGTAAGTGGATGAGGGTAAGTGGGTAAGTGGGTGAGGATGCATGAGGCAAGGGGGTGAGTGGGTGCTGGTGTGGCTGCTGCTCGTTGGAGCCATAGCTGACTGCACAATTGCCACTCCTTCAGGGTTATCATATCACATGGCACGGCATGTTGCATGGCATTTGACATGGAAAGTCATGGAGGGTGCAGTGCAGCATTGGTGGAATGAGTGAGTGTGTGTGTGTGTGTGTGTGTGTGTGTGTGTGTGTGTGCGTGCGAGAGAGCTGAATGCGGTGTTAGATAAGGCGAGGCGACCCTTATCAAACATATCCACCCCACCCACTTTCGCACATGTATATGCCCTACCCACCTTATCAACCCTATCCGCCCAACCCAATATAGCCATCCTGTCCGTCCAACCCAGATTATGGTTAGGTTAAAGGGCGAAGAGATAAGACGGAATGGGAAGCGGGAAGCGGGAAGAGGAGATATTGAAGAGTGAAGAGGGAAGGGAAGCGGGAAGAGGGAAGAGGGAAGGGAAGAGGGAAGAGGGAAGGGAAGAGGGAAGGGGGAAGGGAAGAGGGAAGGGAAGAGTGAAGGGAAGAGGAAGAAGGCGTGCAAGTGCGTGCACAGGCGAACTTATATATTCACGTGCCTGAGCTGCAGAGACTGAGAATGGCTGCGCGGCATAAAACCTGTGGGTAGAGGTTCGAGTTTTTGAGCGTGCATCTCGGTGCACAAGTGGCGGACAGACACCAGCCTGAGGCTGCCCTAGTGGCTCATGTCTCACTCCGTGAGCTACTTCAGCCACTTGTCCATCGGCGGCGCACAGGCGAACTAGACAAGTAGATTCACGTGCGTGAGCATGGCTGCTGCGGCGGTACCTTGAGAGGTAACAACCCTGCAGCGGGGGTACGTTGAGAAAAAAAGCCCTGTGTGTGCGTGCAGTGGTCAACTAGAATCACGTGCGTGAGCATGGCTGCTGCGGCCGTACCTTGAGAAAGAAGCCCTGCATCTCAGTGCAGAGCGAGTGCAGTATCTCCGCACCCCGCTCGTGCTGCTCCTCCCACGCCGCCCGCCGCTGCTCCTCGCTCAGCCTGCTCAAATGCACGCGCACCTGGCACAGCTGACTGACAGCGCACACATCGGGATGAGAGGAGCGGGGAGATTAGAGGGAAGCAGGCAGAAATCGCATGTGTGCGAACACAGAAGTACTACGAGTAAGGGGCTCCAAGGAGCGCACTGTGGAAGGAATAGACTATTCTTTCGGCAACAGTGGACAAAAAGTCCACTCTTTTTTTTTCTTTCTTTCTTTCTTTCTTTCTTTCTTTCTTTTTAATTTACTGCTCGCTGTGTTCAACCAGCATTTTTAGCCCACCGAGAACTGCCGTAGATGCATGAATTGCACGGCTCGTTATAGTCACATTGTAGCTGCCGTACACATGCATGGCTCGTCTTCAAAGGTCGAAAATGCGACGCAGTGCCTGCTGCTGCTCGCGCCATCCCTCCACCTTAAGGTGCGCACTGCATGGAAGTTGCGGCTGGGGAGGGATTTGGAAGGGTAGGAGAGAAGTTTGCGGGTAGGAGAGGGGGCACGGCATGGCACGGTGTATGGGGAGGAAATGAAAAGGCATGGTGGATGGGGAACGGCATGGCAGCATGTGAGGTGAGAATGCAGCAGGACGGTTGGGGCAGTGATGTGGTGGCGCTGGTGATGGTGGCGATGATGCACAGCCAGCTAGGGCGATTTGTGTCTAGGGGAGTCCCCTCGCTTCTTATTCACCCTGTCAGACGTAGCTGACGGTGAGGGGAGTGCGCTCTGCTGACTCGTTACAGTCAATCAGTGCGCTAATGGCTCGTTTTATATATCCGCTGCCGATACCGCTCGTAGCGCCGGTAGCGCTGGTAGAACTGTTTGTTTCCCGCGCCGTGGCATTCCCCGCCTAGTCATGCGAATGCCATGGAGCGCCGGACAGCCCGCTCCGGAATTGCGAGTCCGCCTGCACGTTCCGATCATGCAGCCATCCCGCGAGCTCTGCGCGCAATGAATCGAAGTTCGAGCCAACGTTAGAATTACCACTACGGTCGGTCGAGGTGACAAGAGAGGAGGGATTGACGAGAATGAGGCAATATTCGAACAAATCGTAACGGCATGGGCCTGACATGTAGCCGTACGAAACGAATTCCAAGATCTCGGTTATCAGACATCGTATGAACGAAAATGAATTACTACAGAACGATTTGTTTCTTGTGAAGGTTATTCTGGTGCAGGCAGTTGCGAAAGTGATGAGGGTGCCTGTAATGTGGGCAACATCGCACACGGTTTGCGATTACTGGCAACGTCTTCGCCACAGATTTCTACCGGTGTGCGACACACTAATGAAATTGTGAATCGCGCAGCGAAGCATGGCGAGGAAATTCCGAACTATCGCGGACGTCATTTCAGGCTAACCCTCCCTCGCCATCTCTGTTACGGGATGGAAAATGCGTTACAGTCACGCTGGAGGCTATGAACCTTCCCCAGCCAAGCAGTACGGTACAGGGATGGTACGGTTTGGTGCACTGTTTTCCAGAACGGTAATTCAAGTACAACCGCGCTCAACCGTGTTGGAAGTTGGAACCAACTGAACAACACTCCCCGACAGATCTGTTCGGGAAACATGTTCACATATCGTGCCACACTGCACGGCACCTGGCAGGCACCCAACGCGCACCACTGATTTCTGTGTTGCCTGTCTCTCCAAACCAAACATTCCTTGTACGGCCGCTCTCACCGTCTTCTTCCTCCATTATTGATCTCACTTAGCTTCCCGCAGTTACTGCTATGCTAACACAACTGCCCATTACGTTGACACCACACGCCACCACGCACCAACCAGAGTGTGCCTTTTACTTGCTCTGACCGTTCTTTTCCTAGAATTATTGGTGTCACTTTGGATCGTAGGTTGGCAGCAGAGTGACGGAAATGACCCAAGTTGATCTTGCCTCCAATGCGAGTAGTTCAATAATTGTCATAGCACACCCCTCGGACCGCACAGCAGAATGACGGACAGAACTGAATCCGAGCTTGCCTCCGATGCGATCCGAGCCGCAGTGCGGCTTGGATCTGGCGGTGTTCAAAAGGGACGATCCCCCCGTAGCTCATTCATTCCTCCCCGTTGCCATACTCGTAGCTCCGAGCTTTTCATGAGTCATTCATTCCTCCCAACCAACCAACTTGAGCGATGGCGGATGCGCGTTTCCTTTCGACTACATTGGCATTATGGGTGATACTAGTCGTGCTGATGGCTCTCAATCCGACACCTGCGTCAGCCGCATTCAACTTCTCAATCTCCGAGGCCGGAAAAGTGCAGTGGTCGCTCGACTGTGACTGGGTCGGCAACGACATAGGCCGAGCGGCCGGCAAGGGCGAGACGTGCGGACAGCAGTGCCTGAGCCGCGCGGATTGCACGCATTGGACGTGGAGCGCCTTCAACGGCGGCACGTGCTGGCTCAAGGGGGCCATCAACGCGACAGAGCTGGTCCCCGCCACTGGCACGTCGTGTGGTTACCGCGTTACCGACAGCGCGACCGGCAACCCGTACACGGCAGTCCAGCAGTACCTCAACCCGGGGTACGCGGCGAGCGTGAAAGCCGCGGTGCGCGCCGCGCTTCCCTCGGTTGCGCCGTTTTTCGCGAGCGTGGCGCAGTATGCGACGGCTGTGTGGCTCGACACGATGGCTGCCCTAGATTCCATCCCCGGCCACCTGAGCGACGCGGCGACTCAGGCGGGCGGCAAGGCGATTCTCGTGCAATTCGTGATCTACGACCTCCCGGGCCGCGACTGCAAGGCGTGGTCGTCCAACGGGGAGATTCCCAAGGGTGGCCTCGACACGTACAAGACCAAGTACATCGATGTTGCCGTGGCGCGCCTCAAAACCAAGGCGGCGAACGTGCGTCTGTCGCTCGTGATCGAGCCCGACTCGCTGCCCAACATCGCGACGAACATGGGGACGAATCGGTGCGACGCGACGACGGACAAGGAGTACACGGAGGGCGTCGCGTATGCCATCGCGAAGCTGTCGCAGATCCCCGACACCACGCTCTATCTCGACTCCGGCTTCGGCGGCTGGCTCGGTGAGTGCGTATGCCTGTGATTTATTTCAATGCTGTAATCTATTCCGTTCCAGAACGGCCGTTTCTTCCTCCACTTTCAACCTGACTCATCACTTCACACTTCTCCCTAACACCTTCCCCCGTCGCGTGAGCAGGGTGGCCGGAGGGGATGAAGCGCGTGGTGGCGGTGTACAGGAAGGTCCTCGCGCGCGCGCGGCAGATCCGCGTGAACGCCAAGATCCGCGGCTTCGCGTCCAACGTGGCCAACTACAGCCCGCTCTTCGCGACCGGCTGCCCCGCCTTGGAGAAGTGCCCGCTCGCGAAGAACCCGAGCACGGGCGAGATGTGCTACGACTGGAACCCGTGCATCGACGAGAATCGCTTCACGGCGCGCATGAATGCGTACCTGGGAGCCGCGGGACTGCCCACCAGGTGGATCGTGGATACGAGTAGGTCCGGCCGCGCTGGCATCCGCAACCGCTGGGGGTCGTGGTGCAACGTGAAGGGCGCGGGGATTGGACAGCGCCCCGAGGCGAATCCCGCTAATGCTCCGCAAGGTGAGCACCCTTATTTTTTCTTGCTGCTGCTTTTGTTCTCTTCTCTTCTCTTCTCTCTTCTCTTCTCTTCTCTTCTCTTCTCTTCTCTTCTCTTCTCTTCTCTTCTCTTCTCTTCTCTTCTCTTCTCTTCTCTTCTCTTCTCTTCTCTTCTCTTTTCTTGGCGATCCTGTTTCGGAATGGCGTTTCCCTTCACTTTCCCGCACTTCTTTTTCTTGCCTGCCCCGCAGTTGATGCTCTGGTTTGGATCAAGCCGCCTGGGGAGAGCGATGGCCATTCGTAAGTTCCTAATCCCTCCTATGCGCCTGCGGGGTATTGCTACTGTTTTCCGTGTGGGTTTGTCCCTTCCTCTTTGCCAACGGGGCATTTATCAGATGATGAAACGGTTGGCTGTGCTTCTCGGTACACCACTCATCTCTCTTCCTTCCTCCAACCTCTCATCTCCCTAGAACAAAGATTCTGGGCATTTTCCCTTTGGATCGCGAGTGCGACCCCAATGACGCGCTGGGCCTGGACGCCCTATCGAACGCGCCCCGCGCAGGGCAGTGGTTCCAGACGCAATTCACCGCGCTGGTTCGCTACGCCAACCCGCCCATGCCTGCTGGAAAGGTGGACCCCTGCATGTTTGATCCGAAAACAAACCCCGCGTGCGATCCGTTCTGGGAGGACGTGGCCGTCAAGTACTCGCCGCAGTACAAGTTCCACCCTGACGAGGATATCTGGCCAATCACGATCGACGAGTACCTCACACACGTGACTTCCTCCAAAGGTTTTTTTACTGTGGATGGCACAGATTATCAGCTTGACTACCAAACGGGTCCAATCACTCCCGACAACCTCGATACACTGCTGAAGAATCCAAATAGCGAGCGTGGCAAAACTGTCCTGTACAGTCTGGATCAGTTTGACAAGGATACCGACTGGATGAGCGAATCGGCGCGCAACCCGAAAAACGGAGGGACGAAGCTGTACACCATCATTTACGATCCGAAACCGGACGACAAAGACTCGTTTGTGGAGATTCAGTATTGGCTCTTCTACCCATACGTGAGTATTCCAAGTGGTACCCTGGCTTCAAGTACTTCCTTTTGTCTCCTCCCCTCTCTCTCTCCCACACCCCTTTCGTAAAATGTTCTCAATCTGTTTCAACTAATCCACCCTTGTCGTTTGCAGAACTATGCCAGCGCCTTTGGTGGCAACCACATTACGGACCTGGTGGCGATTGCAATCCGCTTCTCAAAGACCGGCCAGCCGCAGCGCATTTGGTACGCGCAGCACGGCGACGGCCCCGTGTGGGCGTGGGACCAAGGGGCCGACTGGGCCGACAAAAATTCAAAGAAGTTCGCTACGGTGATGGGAACACATCCCATTGTGTATGTCTCGGAAGGAAACCATGAGCACTACCCTGGAGCTGGTGAGTAATGCCTCGAGTAACACTCTGCATCTTGTCCTGCAGTCATCTACGCAAAGGCTGAACCCTGTTGCTGCTCTGTGTTTCTCTTTCATTCGCAGGTCGTCACAATTGCTATGCTTTTGGGATCGTTTGTTTCGATTTCACGGCCAACGGAGGAGTCGTATGGACGCCCAAAGACAACCCGCAATCCTTCGAGTTTGTTCACGTGAAGAGCGAGATGTCCGGCTCCACATCGAATGCAGACATGGCGAAGCTATTCAAGGGGAGAAACAAGTGGATGGCTTTCAATGGGAAAATTGGTGGATATTGTAAGTGTGTTTGTCCTTCAACCACGGTGTGTAGAGAATGTTTTGGATGATGGGTGCTGACTTTGTTTGCTTTTGTTCTCAGATGACTCGGAACTTCAAACTGGAGTGAGCGCGATAGCTTTCCAGAAGAACCAGGGGCAGGTAAGCTTGAGTTTAGCTACAGGACATTTTGTATGTTGTCTTTCTCTGGCATGGCGTGCCAATCAGCCTCTAATATTTCTTCTTGTTGCGCCAACAGTTCACTGCTACCCTAAGGGATGAGTAAGCAAGGGGCGAATCCCTGAGGGGTGCTTGCTTTGAGAAGAGGCAGCTTGGCACAAAGTGGAAGTGTGGCATGGGGCAACCCCCACGTGGTTTGAGTGGGGAGGGGACCGCCTTCTCTTCAGCGAAGCGACTCTCCTGGCCCATTGACGCTTGGATTGGCACCGACCAAGTTCCACCACCATATAGAGTTAGGGAGTGTTCCTACGCTCTTACGGTATCAGGCAGTCCTCTTATCAGGCTTGCCTGGTAAAATTTTGCGAGAAATTTTGGGTTTAGGGAAATTTCAGTGTGATGCGAAGCGAATCTGACAAGGGGATGGCCTGATAGGTGGCCGTAGAAACACGCCCTTAGCTCCTCTTTGAATAAAACGTGGCGTGCGCCTCCTCATGTTGCACGTTGCCAAGTGTCCTTGCTTACTCCAGCTACTTTCCCTGATGTGGTGTCTGGTGTGGGTGGGGATGTCCATGAATGACCTATTTATTGAGCTATGTAACCAGGAGGAGTGTAGTGCATGACAAGTTCAACAGGATCAAGTTCAGAGTGAACAAACACAACAACTCAAAGCTCACATACGGTACCCACATTATCAAGGGCTTACTCTAACTCTAGGTCGTTACTACCGTAGTACAAGCACGTGACCATACATGGAGAAAGGAACGCTTCATCATTCTCTGAACAGTCGCAACAATCTGGCACAAGATGGCAACGAGTTGACAAGGTGTGACTGGCTAGAGCAAATTGTCACCCATACCTGTCATTTCTTCTTGACCGGAATAGGCAGTGAGCTGGCAATGAGCTGCCAGTTATCAGGGCTGCACACTAGGCTCTGACGTTGCTTCTTATTGCACCCACCAACAGTTCACTGCTAAGCTCAAGAATGCGTGGGAGCACTGCTAAACACCCTCAGCACCACCATACAACCCTCTGCACCACCATACAACCCTCTGCACCACCATACTACCCTCAGCACCACGAGGAGGGCGGGAGCAGGCACAGGGGTACATGGAAAGAACGGAAAGTGGAGGAGGGGAGTTGGGGGTGGGGAACGGCGGGGGCAGGGGAGGTAAGATGGAATTGAATGAGAGCGATGCAAGGGGTTGTGCTGGTGTTGGTACAACGAGTGGCAAAGAAGCAGAGGGGAATATGTCTGACAGAGAAGGAGCGGGTGAGCAATGAGCGAGGGGAAGAGGCGCAAGCGAGGGAGGAAGCTGCAAGGGTGATGGAGGCGTTTCTTCTGAGGCCAGTGTGTAACGAGGTGAGGACTCACCACACTCATGGTTGTGTTGTCTTCCATCAACATCTGAATGCGAGCAACGATTGAGGCTTGTGTGCTGCTGTGACGCCACCAATCAGGTCACCCGTCTGGACACCACCCCACCCCACCCCAACCCACCCCACCCCACCCCACTCTGCATGCATGCATGCATGCTCCTAGCTCCTCTCCCCATGTCTCCTCCCCTGCCACCATCCTTCGCATTCCCGTTTGTTGCCATTGGTGCGTTGGTGAAGCTGATTGGCCTGCCAGGGTAAGCGTTGAATGACCTGCCAGGCCAGCACGGATGGCCGCATGGGATGAGCAGCAGCAGACACCGCGCACAGGGGAGAGGGGGTACAGGGGAGAGGGGGTACAGGGGAGAGGGGGTACAGGGGAGAGGGGGTACAGGGGAGAGGGGGTACAGGGGAGAGGGGGTACAGGGGAGAGGGGGTACAGGGGAGAGAGTGCACGTTGAGATAGGGGAGAAGACAGCCGGGGGAGGTGAGAGGAGGGTAGAAGACAGCAGGGGGGGGTGGAGGAGAACCAAAGAAAGGGAAGTGAGAGGAGAGGGGGGAGGGAGGGAAGGTGAGGAGTGGAGTGGGGAGAAGGAGATGGTACAATGGTAGGCCGGGGATCTCTTTCGGCTGCTAGATCAATGCCACGTGGACAGCATGAGCAGGGCGCACGAGTGGTAGGGGGCACGAGCAGGAGGGGGCACGAGCAGGAGGGGGCACGAGCAGTAGGGGGCGATTTTACAAGGGCAGCCCAGAAGGCAAGACAGAGTGCACTGCCACACGCCCTTGCCTCGTGCATATTGCTCGGAATGAGAAGAGGCGGAAATAGGGTTAGGGTTACGGAAGAGAGGTGGGATGAGAGATGGGAGACGAGGATCGACTACGCATGGGGAGAGATGTCCGGCTCGGGTGGGAAGTGGGCTGGCTGAAAGGCGAAACGAGGAAGGTGGAGAGGAGAGCACGGAGGAGAAGGGAAGAGTGGAGCTGAAATGGCAGGCATGGGGTGGGATCTGGCCTGCCAGATGGGAGAGGGGGAAAAGGGGCGGGATGGGGAGGGATGGGGAGGGTGGTGGGGAAATGGAGGAATGTCAGCAGCAGAACCGGGGATATATGCAGAGGAAAGGCCAGCATTGTGGCCAGTGAGGAGGGGACACGTGTAGCCTGGCTAGGAGCGGAGTGCCTGGAGAGAGGTCACTGTGGGCATCAAGGTCACTGTGGGCATCAAGGTCACTGTGGGCATCAAGGTCACTTGCCTTGGTGCGTGTGGCACACGGAGTGCTGCTCCCACTCGTGCTGCTCCCACTCGTGCTGCTCCCGCTCGTGCTGCTCCCGCTCGTGCTGCTCCCGCTCGTGCTGTTCCCGCTCGTGCTGCTCCCGCTCGTGCTGCTCCCGCTCGTGCTGCTCCCGCTCGTGCTGCTCCCGCTCGTGCTGCTCCCGCTCGTGCTGCTCCCGCTCGTGCTGCTCCCGCTCGTGCTGCTCCCGCTCGTGCTGCTCCCGCTCGTGCTGCTCCCGCTCGTGCTGCTCCCGCTCGTGCTGCTCCCGCTCGTGCTGCTCCCGCTCGTGCTGCTCCCACTCGTGCTGCTCCCGCTCGTGCTGCTCCCACTCGTGCTGCTCCCACTCGTGCTGCTCCTCCCACGTCGCCCGCTGCTGCTCCTCGCTCAACCCCGACCCACCCGCACGTGCACCTGGCACAGCTGATGGCGCGGGCATGGGGATGGGTGGAGCGGGGAGCAGGGGTGAAAACAAGCGGAGAGGCACTGAGTGACGCAGCGAAGGGAGGTAAAGGCGGAGCCTATGGCGCTGGCAGCGGGGATGGGAGGAGCGGGGAGAGAAAGGCGACGAGGAGGGGACTTTTGAGTCGACTCAAAAGGCAGCGGGGATGGGAGGACCGGGGAGAGAAAGGCGACGAGGAGGGGAGTGGCTGTTGAGTGGAATGAGAGGTGTAACACCTCGCTACCCACTGGGTCAAAACGAGGGTGTTATTTGGCGCAGCGGATTGCCCTTAACACTAGCCCACAGGCGTTACAAGAGGAGACGCCACCGTGTCTGAAGTAGCTGACGGTGAGGAGAGCGCGCTCTGCTGACTCGTTCAATCATACAATGTGCCAATGGCTCGTTATAGTCACCTTGTAGCTGCCGTAGAGATGCACGGCAACCCTCCACATTGCCTGTGTTTCCGTGACTCCCGCTATGGTCACCGTTCGTAGTACCGCTGCTGGTTTTGCTGGTAGCGCTGGTAGGTCTTTTGTTCCCCGCGCCGTGGCACTCCCCGCCTTGTCATGCGAATGCCATGGCGCGCCGGACAGCCCGCTCCGGAATTGCGACTCCGCCTGCACGATCCGATCCTGCAGCCATCCCGAGAGCTCGGCGCGCAACGAATCGGGATTCGAACCTACGATGAAATTGCCGTTACGGTCGGTTGAGGAGACAAAAGATTGTTTCGTAATCGTACCAGGAGGGTTACGATGGCGATAAGCAGCTGGTTGGGAGTTGACGAGTAAGTGGTTGACATGA